CGAGGAGCCTGGTGTAATCCTGAGCCTGGTACAGGACCCTGACACAGGTACGGTGGCCGTCATGCTTCTGCCAGACAGAGCAGGGCCCTGGCTCTTCTGCCTTTGACATCCAGCCACGGACAGGGCTGTGGCCAAGGCCTCCACTGCCCACCGCCTGTGCACCGTCCACCTGACTGGGCTCCACCTGCCACCTTCTTACCCCATCTTCCTGGCTGGACCCTACACAGGGCCGGCTTCACCAGCGTGTGACCTATGCAGGCATATAAGGGCTATACTTGGAAGGGCCTTGAACTAGGTTTCACACTCTTCTATTGCCATCTTGAAATCCTTAACAATTCATTAGGAAGAGGCCCTGCATTTTTACTTCCTACTAGGCCCTGCAAATTAGGGAGCAGTGCTGCTCCACCTTCCCCCACACATGACTGAACAGGGCCTCAAAGTGCCTCTCTCCCGGCAATGCCCTGGTGGCCCAGAATGGCTCTGTCTCCACCCCACGGCTGCTTCCCCCTCTTTTCTCCCTCCCTCTGTTTGCAAATGCGTGTTGAGCACCTGCTGGGGCTGGGAATGCAGTGGCAACCAATACAGGCTTGCTGCCACACAGCCTGGGGGAGGGAGAAGACGAACAGTTCTGAGGGGATCACGTCAGAGCGTGAGATGGGCTGTGCTGGGACAGTGAGGGTGGCGAGGGGCTGCTTGGCCGGTCAGGTCAGGGGAGACACTACTGTGAGCCTGCCCCTGTGTATGGGACTCAGGCCACAGAGAAGGGACAGCCCCAGGTCCGGTCCTAGGGGAGGCAAGCCCTCTGTCAGGGCCCAGAACCGAGGGCTCAGCATGGGAGGCTTAGTGTGGCAGGAGGGGTGGGGCGGAAAGGGAGGTGGGTCCTGACGGCCCCATAAGAGGCAAGACACTCAAAGATGGAGTGACATGGGTCGGAGTGACACGGGTTGCGCCTCCCAGGAAGGAGGCACAGCCCCCTGAGCAAAGGCCGGCGGGCCTCTCCCTGACCCCGACGGCTCCTCGCCCCACTGCAGGGTTCTCAGTGAATGGGCAGCTCATCGGCAACAAGGCCAGGAGCCCTGGGCAGCATGAGGGCACGTACTTCGGGCGGCTGGGCATCGCAAACCCCGCAACGGACTTTCAGCTGGAAGTGACTCCTCAGAACATTACCCTGAACCCAAGCTCTGGCAGGCCTGTGTTCTCCTGGAGGGACCAGGCTGCGCTGCGGCAGGATGGGTACCCCCCCAGGGCTGGCAGGGGAGGCATGGGCTGGCATGGCACGGGCTGAGGGCTCGCTGCTGAGCCTGCAGGGCCCCGCCCTGAGCCACGTCAGCGCTGACAGCCACGTGGCCTGTGCAGACATGTCCATTTCCCTTGGTCCCTGGACATGTGCTCTGGGCCCAGCTGCCTGTGCTCGTATGACATCCTGCCCTCAATACCACCCCCACCTCCACCAAACAAAGCCAGCTCATCCTCCCAGGACCACCACAAAGGCCACCTCTTCCCTGAAGCCCTCTCTCGCTCTGCGGAACAGAGTTCTCTGGGCTTCCCCTGTGGCACCTGCCATAGTCTTCCTTGTGCTTTTTCCTTCCTTCACTCATTCAATCATTCAACAAACTGCCAAGCACCAGAGCCTGATGCTGGGTAGCTGAGCTTAAGGAGGAGGTGGACAGAGTTGGGTGTAGAAGACATAGGTTATGAGTGGGAGTCAGAATGCAGACTCTGATGTTAGCCTGAAATTTAAGTCCTAGCTCCACTGTTTATCCGCTGTGCCACCTCAGGCAAGTTACTTAACTTCTCTGAGCCTTGGTCTTCACAAGGTCAGAGTGAGAATGGAATGATGCAGTTTGTATAGGAGGGTCTAGCACCGGGCCTGGCTCACTGTAAGGGTCCCATACACAACAGCAACATGTGGACAGGAGCATGGACCAGGTAACAGCCCACCACCTGGGGGTAAAGACCACGGGGACAGGGGACTGAACATAAATGGCTGGGGCCCGGAGCACGAGAGCAGCTAAGTGGAGAGGGAAGCAGTACAGCTATACCTGCCCTCATGGCTGCCTGCCCTGCAGGGTGGTGGTGACCATCAACAGGAAGAGGAACCTGGTGGTGTCCCTAGACAACGGGGCCACCTTTCAGGTTGTCCTGCACCGCGTGTGGAAGGACAGTGCAGTCCACCAGGATTTCTTGGGCTTCTACGTGCTGGACAGTCACCGGATGTCTGCCCGGACACATGGGCTGCTGGGTACGGCTGCCAGCGAGCAGAGTTGTGGGACAGGGTGTTGAAGCCAGTGGATTCGTGGGTCCTGGGGCTGTGGGGCAGTTTTGCAGCTGGGCACCAAGACAGGCCCACCCCCAGTGTGGCCTCCAAGGCTCAGAATTCCAAAGATGGGTTGTCTTGGTGAGGGTTTTGTCCCTCAAAAAGGCTGTGATCAAACACACAGTGAAACAAAAGCTTAAGTGAGCCTGGGAGCAGGTGCAAGGAGTGGTCCTATTAGCAAACAGAAAGGTCCAGAGGGTTCCCAGGGGCCTTATGAGTGGGGTGGGTCCTCAGCCACAGTGCTCCTGTGTGGCCTTCCTATGGACACTGCTCCCCATGGGCACCTGTCCCTCGAACCTCTCTCCCCAGCCAGATCCCTTTGAATTGGTTTTAAAAGACGGGAGGTAGAACCACCTAGAAATATATCTGCTTCTCTACAGCAAGTGAACTAAAGGTGGCTTTTGATGCCAGGACTTACGAGAATTAAGCCCTTAAAAAAAGTATTCAAGCAGCCCTGTAAGCCTCCAGTGAGCACCTACTGCGTGCAAGCTCCAAGACGGTAACTGCTGCCTCCCATGTGCCTTTCTAGGGCAATTCTTCCACCCCTTTAGTTTTGAGGTGTTTGACCTCCACCCGGGCTCTGACCCCACCAAACCAGATGCCACAATGGTGGTGAAGAACCGCCAGCTGACAGTCACCAGGTGGGTGGGTGCTCCCCAGCATGTCTGCCCTGAGCTGCTTTGCATTTGCTTTCGGTTGTCTGGGCCTTCCTCCAGGTGTCACATGGGTGGGGGGAGCTTCCTGGGGAGGTGCCACCCTGCAGGTTCCAAAGAGTGACTCCAGTTAACTTGTCTTTCCCCAGGGGCTTGCAAAAAGACTACAGCAAGGACCCCCGGCATGGGGCCGAGGTGCCCTGCTGGTTCATCCATAACAATGGAGCTGGACTGATTGATGGAGTTCATACCGACTATATTGTCCCTGATATCTTCTGAGCCCTGTAGCCAGCACACCTGTCCTCCCCCCGGACCATTGCAGAGGAGGACAGCGTCCTGACCTGCTGCCCGGGCTATGCCTCCCTGACCAAGCTGGTCCACTGTGTCAAGCACCCTGTGACTTCCATTAAAGAGAGACTGTGTCCACCCCAGAGCTGGCTGATTTCTGGGAGGGAGGATGGTGGGGAGGCAGCCCAAGACACTGCCCCTCAGAAGGGCTTAGGGGTCGTAGCAAACCAAGGGATGGGAGAAGCAGGTTGGAGGCTGGGAGAGGAGCCCATGCCAGCTCTGTCCCCCAGGTGCCCCCGGAAAAAACAGCTCCCTCCCATAGGCCCAGGGACCAGGGGACACTCTGACAGCATGAACAGCCACAACTGACTCACCACTGCCTGTAGCCAGGCATTGTTCCAGGGACCTCACTTGAATTCACTAAATCTGTGCTCCTGACAGCCCTAAGGGACACATTCATCATGCCCGTTTACAGCTGAGGAAACCAAGTTGGGTAGTTTTCCCAAAATTACTCAGCTTGTAAGTGGCAGAGCTGGGGTTTGAACCCGTGCTGGCTGATGTCAGCATCTGTGCACTTAACCACCCCCATATGAATACTCTAGTCAGCTGGGAGGCCAATGGCCAAAGCCTGTTGGGCCTTGGTTCTGGATATTCCAAAATATCACTTAAAATGAACATGGGAAAGAACTGTTATAGGTGGATCGGGGTCCTGAAGAAGTCCCACCAAGAGTGGGAGGTTGCACTGTTGGGGTCAGGGCCTCCCCCTCAGCTCCATTTCCCTGCTGGGCTTTGCAACCTCTGATAGGCAGGCACTTTCCAAAGGCGGTGACTGTAAGTTTAGGGGAGCAGGAACGGCACCCCTCCATCTTCTCATGTGAATGTCTGGAACTGCCCCATCAGGGCTCCTTCCCTTGGCTTGGCCTTGGGGCCCAGTTAAAATGCAACATCACAGGCAGAACCCCCACTTTGGGGAGCTCGTCACGTGAAGGGGGATGGGCCTCCACACACTCCTTTACACAGGCTTTCTGCTTTTGCCCTACTGGTTTCTGCCCAGCGCCCTCTACCAACGAGGTCCACAGGGCCCAGATCAGACAAGGCCTGGCTTTGAGACCCCAAATCAATAACACAAATGCTGAGCTCAAAGGCTGCCCCAGGTCTGGGGCCTTGCCTAACTGGGACCTCATCTTGCCCTCCTGGAGAATAAAAGTGAGATGAACTGAAGATCTCTTAGATTTCTTCTATTTCTAAATTTTGGAAGATGACTCTGTTTCCCTCCAAGTCTCCGGCCATCCCTTGGGGCTCTAGAGCAGCTTCAGAATCCCTATTTGGAGTTGTCCCTGTCCCCAGACCCCGAGCACTTAGGGATAAGGCAGTAGTCTGGGAGCAGGAGGATGGGAGCAGCCCTGCCAGCAGCTGCAGTCCTGTGAGGAGGGGCCATCGGGCAACACCAGGCAGCAGCCAATGAGCAACAGCCTCAGCCACCCAGCCGGTCAGTGGCTACAGGTGCTGAAAATGACCATATGCATTGGATGTCCCAGGAGCCAGGGAACAATGAGACTGCAGCTCTGAGGAGTCCTCTCCCCACATCCAGGTGTCAGTGCCTGCTGGGCCTCTTCAGACATGCATCTGGGGACCGTTACCCCGCCCATGCCTGGCTTCCCAGAGGAGCTTCCCGCCCCTGCCCCTCCTATTCCCACTCAGGTCACTGACCCCGCTTGGAAAACACCAGGCCAGCTCATATAAGGAGTGTGTGCCTGGTCTGTGCGCTCAGCGATGGCATCTGCTTGGTGGCCCTGCCTGGTCTTGGCTCTGCTCTCCGGCTTGGCAGCCTCTGGCTTCCCGAGAAGCCCCTTCTGGCTGCGGGGGGTGAGTCTGCGCCTCTTCGCCATCTGGGCCTCAGTGTGCAGTGGGCAGCAGGGTGAGAGGAGGCAGAGGGCTAGGCAGTGAGAGAACTGGGCTCAGCTGAGGCCTACGGTAACCTGCTGTCTAGCCCTGGGCAAGGCTCTTAAAACTCCCCGGACCTCAGTTTCCCTACCTGTCAAATGAGCAATGCACCGGGAACCGATCGCCTTCCTGAGGGCTGTGAATGTCCAAGTCTTAGGCGAGTGCAGAGGCCTCTACAACATGCTGAGTTGAGCCCTGTGGGTGGGGTGGGGTGGGGGTGTTCTGGGAGGAGGCTGAAGAGGTCTGGGGGACCAGGGAAAGGCAGGATGAGGGACAGAATGAGGTGGATATGTGGGGCATAGAGAGGGCTCTGGGTTCAGGTCTCCCTGCCCTGTTCCCCTGGGTAACGTGGAGAACTGCCCCTCTCTGGACCTCAGCTTCCCCGTCTATTCAGAGTCCTTCCTGCTCTGACATGCGCTCTGGGAGGGCCCTCAAGCGTGTGTGGAGGTGGGAGCTGCTGAACCCTGGTCCCAGGCCACAGCCTGCTCCCAGGCCATGTGGCCTTGGCCTAGGCCTGACTCCTGTTTGTTTTTATTTTTGCAGAAACGGAGCATCCCGGAAGGGGTAAGAACTTTCTCTGGGAAAGGGGCCAGGTGGGGCAGGGGAGGATGGAGCTGGTTGCCCAATTGCTAAAGGTCCCTCACAACTGGCAAACGGCTCACAGCCTCCTGCCCCAGCAGACTCCTACACGGCACTAGACCCCTGGGAAAGAGCACCACAGAACCTCGGCCCCCCCAACCTCATGGGCCCCCACCATCATGGGATGCAGCCCAGGAGGGCCCCACCAGGCATCCCTTTCTTCCAGAAACATCGAGCATCTCTTGGCACTGGCCCTGTGTGCAGGGCTGAGAACACAGTGAAGCAGTGCCTGTCACTCATCTTTATACCCTTGTTTAGCCAGACATCTGCCTAGAGCTCCCTGAGTCCAAAGCACTGTGGGAAACAGGGTGGCCAGGAACCCCTTAGCACAGGAAATAACTTCCTGTTTCAGAGACAGACTTTGGAAATTATCGAAGGACACAGGAGGCTGCCGGGGTGTGTGTGTGGGAGCTGTGTGAGGAGCAGTGGGATGTGTGGTGGAGGAGCGTGGTATGTGAGGGGAGTGGGGTGGTGTGTGGGACTTGGTGATGTGTGAGGAGTGGGGTGTGTGTGAGGGAGACTGTGGTGTGTGTGAGGGAGGGTGGGGTGTGTGAGAGTGGGGTGTGTGTGGAGGGGGTTGGTGTGTGAGGGAGCGTGGTGGTGTGAGGAGGTGGTGTGTTGAGGGGTGGGGTGTGTGTGAGGAGCGTGGGGTGTGTGTGAGGAGGTGGTGTGTGTGAGGGAGGGTGGGGTGTGTGTGAGGGAGGGTGGGGTGTGTGTGAAGGAGGGTGGGGTGTGTGTGAGGACGTGGTGTGGTGTGAGGGATGGGTGTGTGCAGGAGAGTGGGGTGTTGTGGAGGAGAGTGGGTGTGTGTGAGAGGTGGTTGTGTGAGGGAGGTGGTGTGTGTGAGGGGTGGTGTGTGTGAGGAGGTGGGTGGTGTGTGAGGAGGTGGTGTGTGGTGTGAGGTGGGTGTGTGTGTGAGGGAGCGTGGTGTGTGTGAGGAGAGTAGGGTGTGTTGAGGAGGGTGGGGTTGTGGTGAGGAGGGGGGGTGTGTGTGAGGAGGTGGGGTGTGTGTGGGAGGTGGTGTGTGTGGTGAGGAAGTGGGTGTTGAGGGGTGGGTGTGTGTGAGGAGGTGGGTGGTGAGGGAGGTGGTGTGTGTGGGAGGGTGGTGTGTGTGGGGGGGTGGTGTGTGTGAGGGAGGGTGGTGTGTGTGAGGGGGGTGGTGTGTGTGGAGATGGATGTTGTGTGAGGAGAGTGGTGTGGTGTGAGGAGATTGGTGTGTGTGAGGAGGTGTGTTTAGGTGGTGTGTGTGTGAGGAGGGTGGTGTGGTTGTTGGAGGAGGTGGTGTGTGAGGGAGCGTGGGGTGTGAAGGATGAACAGGAAGAGCCAGGTGCGATTGTTCCAGGGCAAACCTGGGTGTGGTTAGAGCTATGGGGAGGGGAGGGGGTAGACCAAGTCTCACTGGCTGCAGCTTTGTGTAAACAGAGTGCAAAGCAGAGCCAGCACCAGGATGATGGTGGCCCATGGAATGTGGGGACTGGTGGGATGTCAGGGGCTTCAGAACGTGCATAGGAGAGTTTGGAAGGGAGGAGGACAGGTTGCAGACCTGGTTCCCCAGTGACCGTGCCTTCTGACCCCTGCCCACCTCTCCCACAGGTGGTTGATGGCATTGAGGTCTACAGCACCAAAATCAACAGCAAGGTGACCTCCCGCTTTGCTCACAATGTGGTCACCACAAGGGCTGTCAACCGTGCAGACGTGGCCAAGGAAGTTTCCTTTGACGTGGAGCTGCCCAAGACGGCCTTCATCACGAACTTCACCTTGTGGGTGCCACCATGGTTGCTGGCTCTGGGCTTCAGGGACAGGGTCTGACCCAGTGTGACGCCCCACAAACTCTCTTTCCCTGTAGGACTATCGATGGCATTACTTACCCTGGGAACGTCAAGGAGAAGGAAGTCGCCAAGAAGCAGTATGACAAGGCTGTATCCCAGGGCAAGACAGCTGGTTTGGTTAAGTAAGTGCAGACTCCCAGGCCTCGGGAGAACATCTGGGTTTCAAGGGCATTCAGAGCTATGAACAAGAACAGCTCTTATCACTGTTATAGCAAATTGTGCCCGATTTATATTGTTCCATGTAGAGTTGGAGAATGGTTAGGGGTTTCCCTAACCAAAGGTCTGGGACTTGAACCCAAGGCGGAGGAAGGAGGGGCTCATGCAGTTTTTGGAGGTCACCATCTTGCTCCTGGTTCAGGGCCTCTGGGAGGAAGCTGGAGAAGTTCACCGTTTCAGTCAATGTGGCTGCGGGCAGCAAGGTCACCTTTGAGTTGACCTACGAGGAGCTGCTGAAGAGGCACAAGGGCAAGTACGAGATGTACCTCAAGGTCCAGCCCAAGCAACTGGTCAAACACTTTGAGGTAATCTGCACTCCTGCAACTCCTGCACCAACCCAGGGGTAGGCTCCAAGAAGGGTGAACGACAGAAAATTCTGGCCCCTGGCCTGGCTTAGGAGGTTTGGAGGAATCACAGCAGTTGGGGCTGAAAGCATGAGGCTGGGCTGGACTTGGCAGACCCAGATCTGGGGCTGGGCCCCCCAGGACAACACCACAGGCTGCCTCTGCCGTGCTCATAACTGGGTACATGGGCATCTCACCGCTGAAAGCCAAAGGCAATGCCTTAGTGGTAGAATCTGGCAGGTGGGGGAAACACTCTGGAATTGGGACACCCTCTACAAGCCCTGTGGTCATTTCCTGGTGGGAGATCCCAGGCAGACCCTCAGCGCTTCCCTAGAGGGTCCCCACATCATCACAGATGTGCCTCAGTCCCCGCAGGCCTTGCCCTGGAGGCTGGCCTCTGCACTGCCACTGAGTGACATCACCTCACTTTGACTGTTCCAGATCAAGGTAGACATCTTCGAGCCCCAAGGTATCAGCATGCTGGACGCCAAGGCCTCATTCATCACCAATGACCTCCTGGGCAGTGCCCTCACCAAGTCCTTCTCAGGGAAAAAGGTGGTGTAAATGCCTCTCAGCCTGGGGTGGGGGCAGGAACACTGGTGCCTGCAGCACAGGCTGCTGGCCGAGGCAAGCATGTGTGTGCTGGCGGGGGTGCGGGGGGAGATCAGTCCGTAGCCACCACCTTCCTCCTCCGGAGTGAAGATGCTGCGGGGGCCCTGCCAGGGGAATTAGGCCCTTGGCTGCGCCAGGGCACGGGGGCAATCCCACCTTGGGAAGTGGACAGAGCAGGGGTCATCATTCCTGTTTTACAGGTTAGGAGAACAAGGCCAGAAAGAGTCATTCAGATCTACTGATTCCACAGCGAGGGGAGAAAGATTAAACTAAACTTCACTTTTGGTGCTGGGTGGTTGGCTCCAGTGTCCCCGAGGCCCCAGCTATTCCAGCCACCCCATTGGCAGTGGGTGGTGGATGAACAAATAAACAACACACCTCAGGCATTCGGGACTTCCAGGGCGAGGCCCGAGGAGCAACACGCAGGGCTGCTGGCTTCTGCAGGGCCCACCCGAGGGCTCCCCCAGGCTGAGGTCTGCCTGGGGGCAGGGCCTGGCCAAGCTGAGCAAGGTCCTCTGTCTCTGTCCCTCAGGGCCATGTGTCCTTCAGGCCCAGCTTAGACCAGCAGCGTTCATGCCCAAACTGCACAGACTCCCTCCTCAATGGAGATTTCACCATCACCTATGACGTGAACAGAGAGTCTCCGGCCAGTGTACAGGTACCTGGGCTGGCCGAATCATCATATTGGTTGGGTGAGGGCTGGTGTGGGGCAGGGCCACAGCCATGTCTAGTGACATCACCCTGGATCCTCAGCCCAAGGCTGAATCTTCCTATGTGACATGGGGCAGCCAATGGCCCAGAGCCTTTGTACAGCGGCCCTTAGAGGTTGGGAAAGGGACATCTTTTTCTCAGGCTGGTGAATATCTGGCCTCTATCTATAAGAGCGGATAATGTGGTATTACTAAACGGATACAGCCTGGCCTCCGTGGCTCTCTCCCCTTTGCAGATAGTCAACGGCTACTTCGTGCACTTCTTTGCACCTCAAGGCCTCCCAGTGGTGCCTAAGAACGTGGTCTTCGTGATTGATGTCAGTGGCTCCATGGCTGGCCGGAAAATACACCAGGTATCTCCTTAGCACAAGTGGCAGAGCCAGGGGTTCGGAATGAGGGAAGAAGAGATTTTTTTGTTAGGTACAAAAAGCTGATATTTGCAGGGAATGAGGAGAAAGGGGATGGGATAAAAGAAGGCTCAAGGCCTCTGCCCACTTGTGTGGCAAGCCTTGGCTCAGCCCATGGACGTAGGGCATGGGCTCTGCCGATCTCTGTTGCTGCTTCTCCCGCTCCTTGTCTGTTAGTCTCTCTCTTTCCCAGACAAGAGATGCCCTCCTCAAAATCCTAGATGATATGAAGGAAGAGGACTACCTCAATTTCATCCTGTTCAGTGGAGACGTGACCACCTGGAGAGAGCACTTAGTCCAGGCCACTGCTGAGAACCTGCAGGAGGCCAGGGCGTTTGTGAAGACCATTGAGGAAAGAGGAAGTAAGAGCAGAGGGTGTGGATGCTCCTCCTTGCAGCTCCCTTCCCTGCCCTGTGCCCTGGTTCCCTCTTCCTCGTGGGTCTGCTGGTCTCAGGCCCTGCAGAACTGAGCTGGGAGGAGAGGTGGGAGTGGGCAATCCTCAGGCTTGAAGACAGGAGACCACGTGGCTTCTCTGTGGTCCAAGGAAATCCATTCTTTCCATTTCCTAGTGCCCAGCAAGTCCCAGCAAGCTAAGGCCACAGCAAACCCTTCTTGGCCCCATTTCTTAGGGAAAATCATCTACACCAGTCCTATCTCCTCCAGCCAGAGGGGGTGGGAGTCCATTGGACTGTTTTTCAAATTGTGTTTACAATTACCACGTGCTTTCACCCCATTTGAAAGTGTAAGTCCCCTGTGTTTGAGCACGGATCCATGCAGTCCATGCTTGCTAAAGCAGATGGGGTCCTTGGGCACGTGGGCAGGGCCTGCGCTCCTGGCCTCCTCCATCCCAGCCTCCCTGCACCCTGGCATCCTGAGGACACCCTCCCACAGTGCTGTCTGTTTGTGTCCCAGTGACCAACCTCAACGATGGGCTGCTGAGGGGCATCGGTATGTTGAACATGGCCTGGGAGGAGCACAGAGTCCCGGAGAGGAGCACCTCCATTGTCATCATGCTGACTGATGGGGAAGCCAATATTGGTGAGGAGGGCGGGTGTAATTCTGCACTATAGCAGGGGCGCCTGGCCACTGCTCCTGCCGCTGTGGCTGGCTCACTGGAAAACCTTGAGCAGTTCATTCCAGGGTCCCCCATAGCGTGTGAGCCCTTTGAGGGCAGGGCCTTGCCTCCCTCTGCCAAGGCACCCCACCATTTGCCCTGACAAGAGCCTGCGGCCAAGACTTCCCCAGCTCTGCATGTGCAGGGGTCAGTTCTCTCCAGACAGAGCCGGCCCAGACAGTCCCCAGGGCTCTGGCTGGAGCGTGAACACCCGCTTCTCCTACAGGTGTGACAAATCCCGAAACAATCCAAGAGAATGTGCGAAATGCCATCAGGGGCAAGTTCCCCTTGTATAACCTGGGCTTTGGCAACAATCTGAATTATAACTTGCTGGACGCTATGGCCCTGGAGAACCATGGGTTTGCCCGACGCATTTATGAGGATTCTGATGCCGATTTGCAGTTGCAGGTATGCCTTGGCTTGCACACTTCCAGGAATGAGAAGCTCACTATGTCCTCAAGCCGCTGTTTCACCATGGGACAATTTCAGTTATTAGGAAAAGCCTCCTCTTGTGTTGAAATCTACTGTAACTACCTCTTACCTGTCAACAATGGTTCCAATTTTGTCCTCAGGCCATATAGAACAGACCTGCTTCTTCAGTAGGATTGTCACATCAAATGCAGGACATATGGTTAGATATAAATGTCTGATTAACAATGAATTATTTTTTCAGTGTAAGCATGTCCCAAATATTGCATGGGACATTTTGTTAGTTTCCTGGGGTTGCCATAAGAAAGTACCACAGCCTGAGTGGCTTCAACAGTGGAAATGTGTCGTCTCCCAGTTCAAGAGGCTGGAAGTCCAAGATCAATGTGTTAGTGGGTTGGTTCCTTTGGAGGGTATGTAAAAGGCCTAGCATGGAAGGAACTGCTCTAGGCCTCCTTCCTTGGCTTGTCGATGGTCATTTTCTCCCTGTGTCTTCATAAATCTTCCCTCTGTGTGTCTGTGTCCAAGTTCCCTTTTTTATAAGGACACCTGTCATCTTGGATTAGAGCTCACCCTAATGACTTTATTTTGAATACCTTATCTCCAAAAAGGGTTAAATTTTAGGAGTACACAATCCAACCCATAACAGATATACTAAGAAAATATTCGTTGTTTATGACATTCAATTTGACAGCACGCCCCATCATTTGTTTGCTGAGTCTGGCAGGTAGTGGCACCTGGACCCCTGCAGAGCCCCCCACGCCTTCCCCCATCTCCTGATTGCCGCTCTCCTGCCCACATTGCCTTCTCATCTTCCTCTCTACCTTTTCTCCTTCCTTTCGTTCCAACAGACATTGCTTAACCACTTCGGTATGGCGCTCACCGGCCACGAAACCGTGCCCACAGCCGGCACTCACAGTCCGCACGGTGGTGTGTTCTGTGCATTGACGACGAGTCCGTTTTGCTCTTGTGTGATGAGGAAAGCTTGAAAGCACTGAAAGCTTGTTTTCCTTTACAGGCAGCTTTACTTGTAATATAAATCAGAATAGGTAACATATACATATATGTTTTCAGTACGTTATTTTTTTTTTTTTTTTTTGAGACCCAGAGTCTCCCGGCATTTGTTGCCACAGGCTAAGTGTGAGTGCCGTTGGCAGTCAGCCTAAGCTCAACAGCAACCTCCAACTCCCCTGGGCTCCGAGCGATCCTTCTGTCTCCAGCTCCAACGAAGTAGGCTGGGACTACAGGCATGGCCACCCCAACCCATGCCCGCGCTAAATTCTTTTATATATATATCAGCTTGGCCAATTAGTTTCTTTTCCTATTTATAGTAGAGACGGGGGTCTCGCATCTTGCTAGGCCTGGTTTTGAACTCCTGACTTGAGCAATCCGCCCGCCTCGGCCTCCCCACGAGGAGCTAGGATTACAGGCGTGAGCCACCGCGCCGGCAGTACGTTAGTTTTTAAATGTTCACAATTTTATTTTGATAAATGAAAAAATTAAGAAAAGTCATATCACAGCTGTCAGGCTAAAGTTACTGTGCGCGTTCATCTGTGGCTGTCGACTATAGTCGACAGCTGGTACCGAAGTGGTTAAATATTTTCTGTGCCAAGAACTCTGTTTCTTTCTTTCTATTCTCCCTAGTGTCTCCCTGGGGAGGTGAGCAGGAAGGGCTCCTGCAGACGAAGGGCCAGTCAGGGCGAGCCAGGTAGAAGTGAAAATCAGGACCCAGGACTGGCCCAGGCCTGGGGAACTGCGACAATGTGGGCAGCGGTCAGTGGGAGCCCACCCCCACCCTGGCCTCTCCATGCCTGCCTTGCGGCCTGACAGACCCCTCCCTGCCATCTGAACTCCAGGGCTTCTACGAAGAGGTGGCAACCCACTGCTGACAGGCGTGGAGGTGAAGTACCGCTGAGAATGCCGATCCTGGACCTCACCCAGAACAGTTACCCAGGCACTTCTACGATGGCTCTGAGATCGGGTGGCCCGGGGCGCCTGGTGGACGAGCACCTGAACAGTTTTAAGGCCGATGTGAAGGGCCATGGGGTGAGCGGGCTGGGCCTGGAGTGTGCTGGGGCAGGGGACCAGCACCAATAGGGCTCCAGCCCTTGGCTGGGACAGCCCAGGAGTGGTGGCCTCCAAACTTGGGCCCATGTGCGCTCCAGGCCTCCAGCCTCCATCTCCTCCACCAATGCCCCAGGCCATCAACGACCTGACCTTCAGCGGAGGAGGTGGACATGAAGGAGATGGAGGGGCTCTGCAGGAGCAGGATTACATTTTGGGAATTACATTGGAGCGGCTCTGGGCCTACCTTACCATCGGAGCAGCTGCTGGAGAAACGGTGAGCCAGGCCCCACCCCTGCCCACAGAGCCCACCTGTGCCTGCAACCCTGTGCTGCTGTGCTCTGAGGGGAAACCCCGAGAGGAGGTAAGTCCAGCCACACCCAGGGAAGGGCCACCCGCCACGCCGCTAGTCCCAGCTGTCCTGCCCCTCTTCCTTGGCCCAGCCCCCCCGGGAACTGTTTTGGAGAGCCCATCCCCTATAAGGAAATCTGTGTCCCCACTCGCCAGCCTGGCTGTCAAGGCGCAGGTGGGCAAGCCGCATGCCAGCAGGCCCTGGGGTGCCTCGAGGGGGCCAGGGGAGGGCCTCAGCACCCCTGGCTCGCCCCAACCCAGCAGCAGCCCCATGGATGGCCAAGGGCAGAGGCAGAACTGAGGCTGGAACCCCAGCCTTCCCCAGCTCCCCCAGCCAGAGGACAGAGCTGCGCCCTCCTCAACGGGGCCATGTCACGTGTTACACCTTAGGTTGGGATCTGAGGCGTGTGCTGAGCACCCAGCATGCCCCGATGGCTGTCCATGAAGTGACTGTTGTAGCCCCCTTTGTACTTCCATAAGGTGGGAAAACTAAGGCCCAGGAAGAAGCGGAGCCCTTGTCCAGCGACAGGCCCAGGGAGCCCTGGTGACACCAGTCTTTTCTGAGCGCCCAGTGGGCTCCACCCATTGGGGGCCCCCCAAAACAATGGGAGACGGTAGAAGGGGGCCCCCTGGCTGCCCCTGGGGCTCCTGATCTCATTCTAGGAGCCAGTGCGGGGGAGGCAGGCAGGGAGCTGTTCTCTGGGCTGGCCCTCCTGACCCGCAATCATCACAGCAAGAATGCCCATGGCGAGGAGAAGGAGAAGCTCACAGCCCAGGCCCTGGACCTGTCCCTCAAGTACCACTTTGTGACTCCGCTGACCTCCATGGTGGTGACCAAGCCTGAGGACAATGAGGACATTGCCGACAAACCTGGGGAAGGTGGGCACAGAGAGTAGAAGCCAGAACCTGGAGGCCTCCCCCTAGGACCCTGGGCCCGGGTGCTCAGCAGAGGAAAGGGCCAGGCATGGGGAGAACCAGAGCTGCCAAAGAGGGGCAGGTTCAGGGGCACCCAGAGAAAAACTGGGCAAGGGCTGGGGAAGGTTGTCTGGAGAGAATGAAGCCATCAGCGTGGACAGTGGAGTGTGGGGTGAATAGAAGCCACTGCATCTCTAAAGGATGTAAGGGGGCACAATGCCCTGGGGTCATTTCAAGGAAGAGGGCTTAGGCTGCAGCATGCAAGGGCTTAGGTGGACAAGAGGAAGCACTCCCAGCCTGGAGCAGGCTACCAGGCACCTGGGGATTGTGAGAGGAATAGGCCCTGGGAGCTGGAGGCTGGGACCCAGTTCAACTCAGCCAGACCCCAGACCACCCTACTCAATAGAGGTCCCACATGCTCACTGCAGCTGGGCACAGGGCATGTGCAGGGGGTGGTGTGGGGGGGGCACAGGGGGCAAGGAGCTGGTGTAGGCCAGGCTAGGCCTCTGGCTCACAGGAGTTCCTGCTTCCAGGGACACGCAGTGGGGCACAGCTGGCTGCCGGGAGGCTGGTTGGCCAGGCAGCAAGCCCTGGGCCCCGCTCAGGCCACTGCCATTGGTTGCATTGGCCCTGACACCTGTAGTCTATGGCTTTTAACTCATTTCTCCTCTTTCTCTCTCGCGACACCAACGGATGCAGAAGGTAAGCTGGAGCCAGTTGTTGGGGGGCATCATGGAGGAGAGACGCAAGGGCACCGAGGAGGCCTTTCCAAGCCAGCTGGGACACACATCCCAGAGGGGCCTCAGGATACCTGGGCTCAGGTCCAGCTCCACTGCCCAGCCATAACTCTGCCCCTCTCTGCACCTCAGAGCCCTTGTCAGCTGATTGGGGGTGGCTTTCCCTGCCCAAGGAGAGACTATCAGAATGAGAGTGTTCTGTGACCTGCACATCAGCCACAAACTCCGCAGTGACCCTCCAAGAGGGTCCTTTTACCATTCCCACTTTACAGTGAGGAAACTGAGACACAGAGCGGTTAAGTCTATTTGCTCAGGGATTTAGTAGGTGGTTGAGCTGGGATGTAGGCCAGGGCCCATGCTAGGGATTGCTGGGGATCACAGCGCTCTGTACCCCCCTAAAACTGGAACCTCATTCCCAAGAGCCCCCACCACTGGGCAGGGCCTCCCCAGCCCCGGTTGGCCTGACCAGCCTCCATCTATAAGGTGAGCACATTTGGACAGGTCGTCACTTTCCCCCCAGAACTGCCCTGACAAATGTGCATGTGTGTCTGTGTTTGTGCATGTTCCTGTGTGTGCATGTGCACACACGTGCCGTGTGCACATGTGTGTACATACATGTACGTGCCCGTGTGCACATGTGCGTACATGTGTGTCTGTGTTTGTGCATGTTCCTGTGTGTGCATGTGCACACACGTGCCCGTGTGCACATGTGCGCACACACATGCCTGTGTGTGCATGCACATACATACATGTGCCTGTGTGTGCATGTGCATGTAGGTGGGTGTTTTACTACCAAGGAGCAACAGTCAGCTGTGAGCCTCACTCACCTCTGCTGGGGGATGCAGAGTCCAGGGGTGGGGACAGATGTCTGCTGTGAGCATTACTCAAGAGAGAGAAGCTGATGACTTAATGGCTTGCATCTTAGATGCATCAAAATGCCCTGCCCCTAGCATGTAAATTACAATCCTATTGCCACCAGCTCTATAAAGAAGTTCCCTGGGCATGCCCCCATTTCTGAAGCCTAAGCTTTGGGGTCACATCTCTACTTCTATCTGCTAGAGTCGGGGCCCCACTGGGAACTGCACCAGTAGCCCCAACACAGGCAGAAGGCATAGGGTTGGGAGAGGGAATCCCTAGAGCCTGCTCACGACTGCCCTTTGGCTTCTTTCAGCCACCTCTGTCACCGCCTCTAGAGCCTTCTTCAGTGAGTACACAGTGGCTGCTGCCACCCTCCCTGCCCATGGCCCAGAGCTTGACCCTGCCCTGATCCTGTTTGTGGTCTTTCCTGAATCAGCACCCTGGGACAGGCAGAGAAGATTGGGTGGGGGGAGAGCATTAGGGAAAGGAAGGGGAGGGGTGCGAGCCAATCTCTGGGCGGGGGTCCTGGAGCCTCCCTAGGGCTGCTTTCTTAGCTCAGCCCTATCCCCCTTTGCAGCCAAAGCCAGTTACCAGCCTCCTCAAACGCCCTACTACTACGGTGAGTTCCCTGGCTCCTCCATGGGGGCAAGGGTCAGGGTCCTGGGCACAGTGCTCCTGCCTGTCTAGGAGTCCAGCCCATGGGGGCCAAGAGGCTGTGGAGGCCCCAGGTGTAGTAAGAGGCCCCAGGAACTAGCCCCTTTTCTGATGTCCCCCTAGTGGATGGGGACCCCCACTTCATCATCCAAGTTCCTGAGAAAGACGATGCCCTCTGCTTCAACATTGATGAAGACCCAGGCACAGTGCTACGCCTCATTCAGGACCCAGACACAGGTGGGGGCTGCAGGCTAGGGCTGGGGCCATGGGTTATTCCCAAGAGAGCCAGGAGTCCCAAGGGGGCACATGGACCAAGTCCTCACTCTGCCCAGGACCTCATCCATCTTCATATACAGAGCACTCCCTGGCATGGGGAGCTGCCCAGGGCCACAGGCTAAGTCCCCAGGTGTCAGTGCTGTTGGAGAAATGGTTAGAGTGAATGGGCAGCCTGGGCCTGGGGGCAGGACCCAGTCTGTGTCTGGGGAATAGGTTTTCTCTGAACACTACTCCCTCGCCCAGGCAAAAGGCAGATCCACAGTGTCCCAGCAGGATCCAAACTTAGATTGTTTAGGAACAAACAAAGTTGGGCTCTGAAGTCCTGGTCTCTCCTTGGGCTTCCCACTCTGCTCCCTCTCAGCAGGTCTGGATAAAGGGGAAGGCACACCCCAAATGGCCAGCCTGGACTCAGAAGTTCTTGCTGGTCTCTCTCCCTGCCTGCCCCTCTGGTAGGCCTCACAGTTAATGGGCAGATCATTGGTGACAAGGGAGGCAGCCCTGCCTTTGAGACCAGAAAGACTTACTTTGGAAAACTGGGCATTACCAACGCTCAGATGGACCTCCAGATTGAGGTGACAACGGAGAAGATCACCTTGTGGAGTGGAGCTGTGCCCAGCACTTTCAGCTGGCTGGACACAGTCACCATCACACAGGATGGGTAAGGTCCCCTAATAGGTCCACAAAGGCTGCCAGAGCCTTAGGGTCTAAGGAGGCTCTTGAGGGATTTGGACAAATCCCAGGAAAGACTGGCTGCCTCAGAGTTCAGTGCCCTGCCACAGGGGAGGGTAACCAACCTCTGGGGCCCTATCAGAGCCAGAATGGTAGCTGGACAGCTCAAAGGCCTGAGCTCGAGGGAAGGGCTGGTTGGGGGAAAGTGTTAGGTGGTAATGACAATAATCCCCTTTGGCATCTCTCATGGCTGAACTGTGAGTCCTCAAACTCTCCAGCCCCTCCTGTGTCTTCAGATGCCCTGCAGCCCAGTGGCAGGGCAGGAGTGCTACTTCCATTTGAGGCCCACAGAGGGGTGGGACCTGCCCGAGGTCACACAGGACGTCAGTGACTGAGCTAGGGCTGGACCCCAGGCCTCTGGACTGCTGCTTACTAAAGAGCAAGGATCCACTCAGTGGAGACATACACACCATGCATGAGGCATCCTCTTTCCAACACTCCTGAGATAGTTTCTGGAGTCCATGGGCTCTCAGGTGCCATGTGCGGGGAAGGCCCTGCCAAGACACCCTTGATTCACATGCTCAGTGTTATGGCCACTGGGCCTCACAGCCACCTGCTGACCTCTCCTCTCGTAGGCTGTCCATGACCATCAACAGGAAGAAGAACATGATGGTCTCCTTTGGAGATGGGATTACCTTTGTAGTCGTCCTGCACCAGGTGTGGAAGAAACATCCCATCCACCAGGACTTTCTAGGCTTCTATGTCATGGACAGTCACCGGATGTCAGCACAGACACATGGGCTGCTGGGTATGCAATGTTCAGACTGCAGGCTGTTCAGGGCAGATAGCATCAAGGGAAAGACGTGCACACGGCCTCCTTAGGCACTCTGTACCCAGCTCACGACACCCTATTCAGCCTTTGCATCAGCCCTGAAATGTCAATGGCCAGGTTACCCATGGCAATGGCCAGGGGCTGACAGTATGAACATGTTCATTCCCAGGGCAATTCTTCCACCCCTTCGACTTTAAAGTCTCTGACATCCACCCAGGCTCTGACCCCACAAAGCCAGATGCCACCATGGTGGTGAAGAACCATCGGCTGACTGTCACCAGGTGAGAGGGTTCCTCTGACACTGTCACTCTGCCCAGGCACGTTTTCCTGGTGGGCTCTTGTCTTCTATGGGGTACTCTTATTTCCATTTGAGGGAAAAGCCCCAGCTTGGCCTCATGAGAAGAGAAATCCTATGACCTCAGTCTTGACTGAAGAATTCTGGGCTCTTAGAATTGCTAACTTCACACCCTTTTTCAACCTCTGGTCAGTGGCTACAGCAGCCATCTTGCCCATCCTGTGTATTACAGCCTCTCTCTCCTTTCCCCCAGGGGCTCCCAGAAAGACTACAGAAAGGACACCAACACTGGCACGAAGGTCGCCTGCTGGTTCGTCCACAACAATGGGGAGGGGCTGATTGATGGTGTCCACACTGATTACATTGTCCCCAACCTGTTTTGAGTAGACACACCATCTGTTGTTGAGATGTATTTCCTGCATCTGCAACAGGGGTGCAGAATGGGCCCTGTGGGAGGGGCCGGGACAATAAAGCCCATGTTGGAAACCAGTGAGCTGCCAGCCTCTAAATATCTTTATGAGCCTCTGCTCCAGGGAACAGCTGGGACCCTAGGCAGCCCAAAGGAGGGGAAAGCTGGTGGGAAGGGAACTTCTTGGGCCTCTCAACCGACACAGCTAAGAGACAGATTTGGTTAGGGATGGCATTATGGGGAGTCAAATGTATGATAGTTTGGGAAAGGAAAATTAAGAATTGACTTTGGAGCAAAGGGGCTCTGAGAAGTCAGGAAGGATTGAGTGCATTTCAGTGTTCGGGAGGGTCAGAAGAAAAGTAAAGGGATGTGGCTCCAAAGCTCTTGTCAGGACCTTCAGAAGTAGAAAGTGCTCTAGGGCAGCTACAGCCCACATCTAAGTGAGGATGTCATCCACCCCTCTATCTATGTACCACTCATCCATCCATCCTACCATCCATCCATTCCTCCAACCATCCATCCATCCATTCACCCACCCATTCACCATCTAACCATCTGTTCACCCAATCATCCATCCATCCATCTATCCATCCATCTGTCCATCTATATGTCCTTCCCTCTACCATCCATCCATCCATTAATCCACCTATCCACCCTACCATCCATCCATCTCTTCAATTATCTGTCCCTCCACCCTTCCATCCATCCACCCACCCACCCACTCATTCATTTCCAACCATGCTTTTACTTACTCATCCATCTTACCATCTATCCATCCTTTCAACAATCTGTCTGTTTATCCATCCATCCATTCATCCACCCATCCATTGATTCAGCAGATAAACACAACACCCTGAGCCAGGATCTGGGGGCACACAGCTTAGTAATCCAGTTCCTATGTTCGTGAGTGCCCAAGTTTACCTTCATCTGGGCCAGGCATCTCTGGAATCCTCCAATTTCATCTCATGGTGACCACTTGCTCTACCCTCCCATTGAATCTGGGTAGGGTATGGCGTCAGAGAGAAATTCCTGGAGAAGGGGCTCTGAGAGATCTTCAGCCCAGACAACCCTCTCCCACCTGCACACCTGCAACTGACCCTTGTTGTGTCTTCTTGCCTCCCTCACTGCCTTCCAGAGTGATCTTTCCACAGAGCAGAACTGCTCACCACTCCCTGCCTAAATCCCTACAAATGACATCTTCCATCCATTGCTCTTGGGACCAGACAAAAATCCTTCCTATGGCCTCTCTCCAGCTCTCCTCACACCCCAAGTGTGCCCCTCACTTTCTGGGTTCCAGACACATAGGCTGCTTCCACTGTGCAAACGTGACCTAGGACTTTTGCCTCTGCTGTTCTCTCTGCCTGAGGGGCTAAGGGCATGCTGGGCGGGGGGACCCTATTGAAGGAAGCAGTGGAAGCTTTGATGGCAGAGCAGGGGGAACAATACGACTGGAGGAATCAGACAGGGGAACGCTGCAAGTATCAGTGGGCAGGGGTGGTGGCATGAGGCCGTGGTCACTAGAAAGTTGTCCTGCCTCCCACTCCAGGGGCCTCACAGCTTCTCCCTGCTGCTGAAGCCGGAACTATAGTTTTCTGGGGCCCACACTGGCCTGGGGCCTGGAAAGGGGATTGGAGGGCAGGAAGGGTGGTCCAGGAGGAAATGTTTCACATCAGAGAATACCCAGGTGGCTACAGGATGCTACTGGGGGATCAGTGGCTCTTACTGCTCTAGGGAGAGGGCCACCTGAGATGTGGCTCCTGTCTTGAAGGCCTCCCCATGGCCTCAGGGTGAATGTGGCAGGGGTACAGGCTGGACTGGCTAAAAAGGCCTAGGCCAGTGAGGGGATGCCCCAGAGTGGGCAGCCCCAGCCATCTCATTCAAGCCTGGGCTGGCTGAGGAGCCACATGGTTTTCAGCCAGTCATCTTGGGGTCAGTTTTCCCACCTGTAAAATGGGGAGAATGGCCCTGCTGACGGAGAGTGTGCAACAGCATCCTCAGTATGATTTCTGGTCCTGCTGAGGTGCCTGTCTCTGCCTTGCAGCTCCAGGTAGCAGCCATGCCACACAGGTTGGGAGAAAGGGAGGATAATCCTGCCAAAATCCTGTCCCCTCTCCCCCACACACAGGCAGGGAGGCCCTTCATTGCAGGCAAAAACGAGGTGGACTCTGTCCTCTCCCCAGTCCCACATCAATACTAGCTTTGCCTGTCCCTGCCTGCAACCTGGCTTCTAGGACAGGGACCACACTGTGTGGTGAGGTGTGCACAGCCCGCTTGGCCTGGCCCTCCCTCCCCGGCCACTTCATCCAATAGCCCCTCCTTCCTTCACTGTCCCTGAACTCAGCACAGCGTCCTCGCTCTAGGCCTGGGAACATGCTGTTCTTGCCATCTGGTGTCCTTGCCCTCCTTTTCCACTGAGCTAACTTCTCTTTTTTCTTTAAACCCACCCCCAACAATACCACCTCCACAATACTAGCCTTCCCTGATAGCCCCTGTCTCCCTTCAGGCTCCTGCAGCACCTGGTAATTTTCTGGGTGGCAGCCGTCACAGTAGGCACCGTGCCTGTTATGTGCCCAGTGTACCCACAGCACTCCCAGGGCCTGGCCCAAGCAGGGGCTGGAAAGCACTTGGTGGACAAAAGAGTGAAGAGCACGGACCCACTTCGGCTGTTTGCAGGAAGCACCTGCCCCACGGTACTGGCAGGGCCAGAAAGTCAAGCATGCCTCCCTGCTGTTGCACAAAGTCCACAGCCCAGACCAGCTCGTCATGTCCCAGAAGGGTGAGCTTGGGGTGGGCACTCCTCTCTGTCACAGCTAGGCCCACAGCAAATCCCTGCTGAGGCTCTGGCCTGCAGGCCTCTGAACAACCTTCACAAAGTGACTCAGTCGAGAGACTCCCTCTTGCAGAGGAAGCTTGATGGGGAAGCAGCAGTGCAGGCAGCAGTGTTTCTGTGTGTGGGGAAACCTGCTCCTGGAGACCCCTCCCACTGGCCTGTCCTCTGACCCTTCTAGAAAGACTTACTCAGCAAACACCCTCTGTAGCTGGGAAAGAACGTTTCCCTGATGATCTGGTCGGTTTCCTCACAGCAAGCAAATGAGCTCATTTTCTGCTTTACCTTGGCTGCCAGGAAGCTCATAGCAAATCTTTGTGCTTAATCACCGCTGCAGCTTCCCCTACCCTGTTGTTTGTGATTTAACTGTGCTCCTGCTTGACTCTTTTCTTTCATTCTCATACCCATGAATTTTGGTTTTATTCTCTTTATGCTTTTTATTTGTAAGCCACATACTTGTGTCCTTTTTTTTTTTTTTTTTTTTATAAGTAGGAAGAGTAATAAGACATTTTTAAAGTATGCTTTGCCTGTGCAGGAGTTGGGTGGAATCTTTGCGGTGCCTAACCCTGCGGCACGAACAGGAGAGGAGACATCATGGGATTTAGGGTTGAGGACCCAGATCACCCCTATCACACTAGAGGTTCCTGGGAACAGGCCCTTGTTCCCCTCCTGGGACTGGGGCCTTGTCTCTGTGTCCCCTTTGCCTTCTAGTGTTGGCTTTTGTACAGGCAGTGAGCAGACAGGCCTGTCCCTGAGCACAGGTGTGAAAATCAAATTGTGTAAGCAAATCCCATTGCGGAGGGGCCCAAAAGCTCCCTGAGAAAGTCAGGGAGTTGGACTACAAAGGATTCCAACCCAGTTCACTCATTTTTTTTTTTTTTAAGTCAAAACTGTTTTTCACAGTTCAAGTAACCATAAAGCAGACTGGACCTCTGTTCCTGGAGAACATTCTCCAGCCCTAGGCTCCTCGCTGGGAGCTGGAGTGACATGTCACATAAGTGGTTTGATCTCAGTTTCCCTGATGATAAAGAGAAGCGACTGGATGGAAAGCTCTGCATGGGCCTTACTGGCCACAGGCCCTTGAGAGCTGACAGGGGAAGAGTCCATGTTCCACAACACTGTGTTCAGGATGTGACTCTGAGGCCCTGGGATTTGGCCAGAAAGAACCAGAAACACCTACTCCCTGTGCTCGCACCCACTTTCTTTATTTGTAATGAGTGGGAATCCCTTCCCCCACTGTGGTCCAGGCCCACAGGTGACCCTGCATTTGCAGGGTGGCAGCCGAGTGTACATAGCAGGCACAGCTCCTGTCACCAGGACTACAGCTGCACAGACCAGCAAGAAATTTCTGTTCCTGGGGCCTCCACCCGATAATCCACCTTGAGCTCTCTGGGATGGAAAGACAGACAGACAAGTGGCAAGTAATTCTTAGCTGTGGTGGGAAGAAGAGGACAGCTAGGGACAGGAACGTGGAGGGTGCCAAGTCCCAGTGTCCCTCTAGAATTCCCTCCGGCAAAGGCCAACAATGCCCAGTCACCCAGAGAGTATGGCCTTCAGAGTCAGGGCTCTGAGAGTTTGGGGTGTGAATAGGGAGAGGTTCCTACTGTCCCCAGCCAACTGACATTGGCTCGAGGGCCGGTGTGTTTTCTGTGGGTCTGAGTTGGCCACCCTTTGTGGGGCCCTGAGAGCTGGCAAGTTCCTGGGCAAGGACAGCAGGAGTGGGGGCCTGCAGAGCCAGCTCCTGGCCTCTCCCTCCCACCCTGCCCCAGCCAGGCTCAGCGGCCTGCCTGTGCTGAGTCACCTCGTAGCAGAGTAGTCACTGCCTTGAACCCTCAGTGTGCGTTTGCTGTCGTCTGACGCTTCTGGGGGCCCCCAGAGCACCTCCTGGTAAAACTGGCCTGAGGTACAAAGGGCGGGTCAGCAAGGGGTAAAGACAGCCCAGGAGATGTGCAGGTGAGGGACGCTGCCTGCTCCTGGGCAGCGGTGGCTTCTGAGGACCCCGACCCTGGGCTACAGGCAGAGTACCGAGGGTCCCGCCGACGTGGCTGGAGAAGCGGTCAGTGTCACGCAGAAGGAGCCGGAGCCCCTCCCCAGGGCCATCCCAGGACAGCAGGCCGATGGTCACTTTGTCTGGGCCACTGAGCAGCAGGAGACCCGTCTTGTCCATGGTCATCTTCAGGCTGCGAGAAACCCAGTGTCCTGAGCAGGAAGACAGACACACCCTCGCAGACCCTCAGCAGTCTGGGGGGACTGGGCTGGCCTCCCTTCTTGTCAGGAGGTCACAGTGTGGCCTTGGTGGGAAGTCCCTTCGATCTTTCAGGTTGCATTTTCCTCAATGGTAAAACAAGACCAAAATCAACTTGATGATATCTGGTTTCCTCAGCATTATTTATAAAAGAATGGTTCTTTTGCCTCTGGTTTTCTTAAATTTGGTTTCTCACAAATTAGTTTTATGTGATTTAGGGATTTCTCTGATGACTCTGTCCCTTTTGCTTTTATGGCTGGTGCCACTTTCTTTTGGTGGCTGGGGTTTAATCATGTGTTTCAATGTTGAGAGGGTAAGTTTCTTCTCATCCTATCCCCTCCTTTGTTACTTACAATAATCTTTGAGATTCTTGCATTTTTGGTTTTCTCATGAATGTTAGGCTCCTTTAAGCACATTGAATAAGACCCTGCTGTTAATCTGAAGCTAATTGAAATGGAATCGCCCTGAACGTGCACTGTCCTGTTGATCCAATTCAAGCTAAAGACGCTGTCTGTTTTTATTTCTATGTTCTGTAGCTCATACAAGTATCTGGACTTTCTATCACTATAATTCATAGCATTCTTCATTTCATTTTCTCAGCATAGATGAGCTATTGATTTTTGGGAATCTATCAGATAACAAGAAACATCAAGATCTTTTATGCAATTGGCAAGGTTCTCAGATGGCCTTGGCTTTGCTGGGTGTGCACTCATTGGTTGGGTGGAGATGAGTCCCCGCCAAAGGGCCCGGTGGGGTGGCGATGGACAAGGCTCTCCACACTTGGGAAAGATGGGCTATGGCACCAGCTGGGGGCTGGCAGGGCACTGCCCGCTGAGGGCCAGGCTCTGCAGCCAGTCCCTGAAGCCCCTGGTGATTTCTGGAGCGGGAGAGCTGCCCCTGAAAGGCCCACAGGGGCAGCCACGCCACCCAGAAGAGGTCGTCTTCTGCCTCCACTACCCAGCGGCTGCCCAGTATTTGAGGTCAGCTAGACTTGTCCCTCCTCACCAGAGCTCCAAGAGGACATGAGGACAACATTTATAATCTGCCCTGTGGACAGTGCTCTCGGGCTTCTCACTGTGGCCTGCCCAGTGGGCACCATGCCACCTGGTGGCACGGGGCTCCCCTGCTACACTCACTCACTGGGATCCCCAGCCTTCTGGCTATGGGCTGGGACGATGATCCCTAGCTATCAGTGAGGAAGCTGAGGCTTATAGGGGCTAGGAGGCCTACCCCAGGCTGCCCAGGATTAGCAGCAGAGCTAGCTCCGACCCACACTGCCTCCTGCACGGGATAGTGACCCGGGCCAGGTGTGAGGGGCACCAGGTCCCCAGGACAGCTGCTCAGTGCCCTGCAGCGCTGTAGGGGTACAGGGCTTCTGCATCTCTGGCGCTCCTGCGAGTGCGGCCACTCCATCCTCAGGTCTGTGGCCTCAGACTACCCGTCAGCACATCATCAGCCAATGAGGCCTGAGGGGTCACCTCTCCCTGGGGGCCCCCAGAGTGGGGCTTACCCGGGCATCACCGAGAACAGCGTCTCCTTCCACTTGTACACAGAGTTTCTTCGGTTCCGAGTGACCACTACGTGCTCAGGGGACACATGAACCTGCAGCTGGGGGTTCTTGAAGGTCACCTCGATCCATGAGAACCCAGCTACCTTCTCCTCATACTGGCCGGTCACCTCAAGCCCTGTGAGGGCAGGACCAGGGAGGTCAAAGCTGCGGCCCCAGCCAGGGCTGGACGCTGTCCTCACCGGGAGCCCTCCCTGATTCCATCCCCTGGAGTCCGCGCCAGCTTGCCTCCGCAGGGGCAGCCCTCTCCCCGGCATTCCGGCCCACTGGGCGCCGGGCTCCTGGCTCCCAGTCTCTGCACTCCTCCCTCATCCCATGTGGCTTTGGAGGGGCCCCCGGCCCTTGGTGACAGCCACTCTCAGATGAGGCCTCTGAGAAGGGAGGTCTGGTCTCAAATCAGCAGCCTTCGTAACTCCCTCATGGTGTGCCTGGCTCTGAGCTAGAGGCTGGGGCCAAGGGTGAGACAGAGAATTGACCCTCCCACCCTCAGGGACAGACAGCCTCGCGGCCTAGGTGACGAAGTGGGGGACCATGTGGATCTGGGAGGAGCAAGGCAGCCGTGGCCGTGCCATGGCTCTGCATAGCGCTGCAGAGCATCCAAGTGGTGTCGTCTCTGTGTCTGACCCGCCGCCTCCACTCAGCCAGTGAGGCCCGACAGGCACACATACCTCCTCCGGCCATTCCCTCCTGCACACCCACTGGGGTCCCATCTCTCAGGGCTCTGTGCTCTGCAGGCACCAATCCCCCCGACTGGAACATCCTCGCCCCTTCCTCTGCTCACCTGCCAAGGCCCTGCTACTCCCGTATGAACCCACGCAGCTCCCTTCACCCCCAGGAGCTCTGGCTCCTCCCAGCTCACTTCCACGCAGCCACGGTGCTTATCTGCACCCGGGCCACCCAGACCTGCACGTGCGCTGCCCAGTGAAAGGCCTGTGGCATGGCTGTGTGAATGCCAGTGTCGGGGGTGGGGGCGTGACTGTGCCATGACCTGGGATGGGCCTGCCCGGGGCCAGGTCTGTGCACGCTGCACGTATCTCTGTGGGTGGGTACTAGCATGTGTGAGTGGTGTCTGGGTCTCAGGTGGATGGCGGGTATGCACCTCTCACCTTGGTCAGGGTCTGAGAGCAGGTTCATTGGCCCCTGAGAGTGCCTGAAGTCCACACAGAGGTGCTCCACGCTCTGCCCAGGCGGCAGCAGGATTACGGAGGGAGCCTGGATGGGGGCTGGGACAGCAGTGCAAGGCTCCTGGGGCAGGGAGAGCGGGCTGGGGGACAGGGGTGGGGAAGGCCGAGGGGGTTGGCAACTTACCTGGGGCTGGGGCTGTTGTAGTTGTTGCTGAAAGAAGAAAAAGTCTGGGTTTAGGCTGCCCCTCCCTGGGGGCAGGGCGTCGAGGGGTGGAGTGGATGGGGGGTGGAGGGGTGGATGGTGTGCCGGGGCTCCCTCTGCACTTCCACACTAGGACTGGTTCATGGACACCCCCAGGGCTCTCCCCTCCCGGGTCTCCCCATTAAGACACAAACTACTCCAGGGGCTCTGGCCTGGGGGACACCTTTGGTTTTTATATCCGCGCCATGTGACATAGCTCGTCCAGGATTTGAGGTGGCTGACGGCGCTGGAGCAGGCGTTAGTGCAGGAGCATGGGGGAACAAACAGGGGGAAGGCAGTGAGGCTCAGAACAATGAGTGTGCCCTCCAGCCATCCCTGCCACCTGCCACCTGCTGCCCGCCAGGCGCCAGCCCCTCCAACCCCGCCACACACACGCCCCACCTAGAATAGCCTCCGCGCGGAGAGTTCCAAACAGAGGAGCCCACTATCAGGGAAATCGCCATGAGACAGGTCTAGCCTGGCTCTGCGGCTGTGTCTGAGTACAGACTTGGGGATCAGAAACAGTTCAAGGGACCTTAGTTGGCTTTGTGAATGGAGGAAGCCCTCCCTTTCTAGAAGGTTTCATCATGAGTCAGCCTCCAGAGTACAGTGAATCCTATTCAGTGAAAATAAAGGACAAATAAAGTCCTGCCTTGTGGAGGGGACGCCTGAAGTCCACAGCTGGGTGGGGGAGGCGGTGGCTGGGAGGAAGGGCGGGCGATGACTGTCCCAGACAGCCCCGCCATGAGCCCTCGCGGCCCCCAGGGACCCCTCTGCACAGGAGTGGGGGGCTGCTCTGTCAAGGCTGTGGCCTGCAGACCCAGGGACAGCTGGAAGAGCTCACACCACGCCGTGGAGCGCAGGAGAGCTCACACCCAGGAATGCAATGCCAAGGACCAGGCAAAGGGGTGGCCGGGGAGAGCTGGGCGGGCGAGGGCAGTCCCCCAGGAAACGCTGCTCTGTGTGCCCCGGATTGGGCCGACCCCCATCACTCAGCATCATGCCCCAGCCACTGCTCTTGAGGGACCTGGTGCTTCGTGCTTTGTCTCATCCTACTCTGGGGGGAGGGGGTTCGGTGATCGCCTTGAGGAAACTGAGGCCGTCAGCGGGCCAGGAAGTGGCTTACAGAACGCGGAGGTCGGTAGCCCATCTTCCCAGTTCGCAAAAATAAAATCAGGAGCATGTGGAGGTCCCGGGGGTCCACGCATCTTTGAGGAGCTGGGAACTCCAAGTCCGAAACGCAGTGGCATGCCAGAAGCTCCAGCTTTGGAAAAATTGACGCACGCGGAATTCTCTGAGGCAGTGTGTGGGCCCTCACAGCCAGGGGTCGGGCCCCGCCCCAGAGTGGGATGTGGAGAGGGCAGGCGCTCCCCCTCCCACGCCCGGAGACAATGACCCCCCTGGAACCTCCCCCGGGGTGTCAGGCTTCCCCCTGCAGCACCCCTCAAACTACCTTGTGCACTCCATCTTCTTCTATGGGCAAGGGAAGAGTCCTCAAGGCTGATCCCTAATCAGACACACCTGAACTTAAGTACCGGGCCTGTCACCAGCCAGGTGAGCCAGAGAAGGCACTCCCCCTGACAGCTAGGGGCCAAGGTCCCATCAATCTCCCCCCCACCACTCTTCTTTGCCACCTGTTATTCTGGACTGCCGACCTCCTACGACACGAGATCCAAGGTGAGTTTGACCTGGAAATCAGTGAGACCTTGGTTTGCTTCTTGGACCTACCTTTCTTTGGCTGGGGGGTGGACTGGGGGTTGTGACCCTGGTGCCAGGGGTGGGGCTGAGGGGCAGCCAATATCTGAATGAACAGGTGACTAAATGCACCACGTGCTTGGTCAGACGCCATCTCCTGGCAGCAAGGTGAGGCTGGAGAGGCTTGGGGTAGACCTGGGCCCTGGACAGTGACCTCAAGGGGCTCGTACCCTGGGCCCTGTGTCAGCGGACCACCACCTAGCCCAGCCTTTGAGGATACTTGGCCTTTACCTGAGTGAACGTTCTTGTGTCTATTTTCTGGATAAAACAAAGACAGAGGGAGAGAGAGGGAGAGAGAGAGAGAGAGAGGGAGAGAGAGGGAGAGAGAGGGAGAGAAGAGGGGGAAGAGAGGGAAGAGGGAGGGAGGGGAGAGAGAGGAGAGAGGGAGAGAGAGGGAGAGGGAGAGAGGAGAGAGAGGGAGAGGGAGGGAGGGAGGGAGAGAGAGGGAGAGAGAGAGATTGATTGATTATCAGGGCGGTTTTTGATCAATTTGAAATGCTTATGTTTAATACTGCTACCCAACCCCAGAACTACATAGTGCAGTGAATTTGGGGAGCCAAGAGACCTGGCCTTGGTTTTCTCATCAGTGAAATCGGATGGGTCTCCGGGGCTCCTGGGAGTCTGTGGATGGCAGGGTTGGGGCGTTGGCCGGCTGCAGGGGTAGGCGCGGGGGGAATGCTGGGTCTAGCCCTGCTGCCTGGGAGGGTGGGATCCTAGCCCCCACCCACCGTCTTCCGCAGGTTTCTCAGCAACTTGAGACTGTTCTTGGCCTTCGGGTTTGGTGACCACCATAGACGTAAGAGGAGTGACAAAGCTGTAGTGCAGTGATAAGTTGAGAGCTCGAGTCTCGAGGGCCTGCCGGTCGGCGTCCGAGGCAGAAACACTGTAGGTTGAGGACATCAGAGCCCAACAGGTCGCTGGACGCCAGCAAAGATTCTCCTTCCCAACCAGCCCCTTCTGGGAGGTCCCTCTGGGAGAGCAGGGAGCTCAGACACGATGTCCAACCACCCTCTCTCCACGACTAGGGGATGCCTCATGCCAGCTGTGCCTGCCCCACCAGCAACAGGCATGGCGAGTGTCCTGCGGAAGTGGCCCGTGAGAGCCAGGGCCACTGTCACCTTTGCTCCAGCAGTTGCTGGATAGTCAGGTATGCCCAGAGTCGCTCCATGAAGTTGTGGAAGATGTACTTGGGGCTCCGGAACTCCTCCTCCTGCTCTGCCACACTGGACTCCGTTTGGAAGGTGATGTTCTGTGTATGCTGAAAAGAGGGGCCCAGTCAGGGCAGGACAGTGAGGGCCTGACATCCGCACCTGGCCTGTCACTTCCGAGCTCTTCTGTGTCAGAGCTGGGGCAGGTCCCATGCACTGACTAAGGACTGCACTTCCTTTGAGGGGGTAGTGACGGACTGAGTCACAGAGCTGCAAGGATGAGCAGGAGGTGGAAATAAAAGGGAGCAAACCACCCCAGGTGCCACAAGGCAGGTGCAGAGGCAGGAAATCAGATTAGCTGACCCCTTGGGAGAAAGGAAAATGAGGATGGAGTCAGAACCCCAGATCAGAGAAGGAATGGCAGCAGGAAGGATTTGCAAGTGCAATGTGGAGCAGAGGGGATCCCATGTACTGCCCACCCTAACCTCAAAGATGGGGCAAAGGGACAGAGAGGGAAGGGCCTTCTGCAGCATCAGTGGCAGAGTTGAGACCAGAACTCAGGTGTCATGGCTCTGGAGTTGGGGCCCCATCCACCCCAACAACCGACCCCTGCCTGAGTTAGCCCCTCTGCTGGGGCTGGTCACTGGGGGACAATGACAGGGAAGCGAATGCCCCAGCTCTGTGTGGACTGGCTGCTTCTACCCCCAGGGAATGGCCTGTGTCACAGGCTGACCCAGCTCGCAGCCTGGGAAATGGGGTCTGAGGGCAAAGGACCCCCAAGCCTCTCTTATCGGAGCTCCCCCGCAGCTAAGAGACCTTTCTACAAGGCGGATCAGATCCGGCCCGCCTGGCACCAGCCTCCTGTGTCTCTCGCCCAGGGCACACGGGGCCGCCTGCACGGATTTTGCCCTGCCCACATGTACAGCTAATTGTTTCATGTTTTTCTTTAATTTTAAATAGACTAGCGCTTTTTACTTGGCCTTATCTTAAGTAATAATATCTGTGAAATCTTACATCTGAGGTTTGAGTCATACTTTTCAAAATACACAGTAAAACAAATACATAACTACTTTTAAAACAAAGACATGTCTGTCTGTGAACCACCCTCAGTCACCGGGGGTTCCACACTTTGGGAACACATGGATTCCAGGCTAATATCAGCTGCCCATACGTGTGGAATTTCTATGCTGGACCAGATATCACTCACACAGGGACTTTATGAGGTGGGCACGTGACTTACTCCCATTTTTATGCAGGAGGAAACTAAGGCACAGGGAGGTTAAGTGGCTTCCCCACATCTCACCTCTGGGAGGTGGCAGAGCTGGGTTTGAAGCCAGGAGGCTTGCCTGTGCCGACAGTCATCATGGCACTGGGCCACGTCTCGTGACCCTCAAGGTCCTGGGCCCCTGACACCCACTGCCACTCTCCCCACACGTGCTGCCCTCCTGCCACACAAGCCCAAAACATTCCTCCCTCACTCCACCATCCGGGTTCCGCCCTCCTCCTACTCATCCCTCAGTCTCAGCTGAGCCTCCACCGGAAGCCCTCCCTGGTCCCCAGGCCAGGTTGGGGTCCCTGGCGCTGCTCTCCCGAGTCCCCAGTCAGATCCCAGCCTGTAGCTCCTTGCTTGTGTGATGATGTAGCCACGACTGTCTGTCCCATGAGGGCAGGGCGAGGTCAGCCTCGTTCTTCACTGTCTCCCCTGGGCCTGGCACAGAGCAGGTGCTCAGTTTCCCATGGTGGAATGACAGGGGCTCCCTGGAAGGAGGCAGAGAAGGCTGGGCAAGGACGGGGCACCATGTGGTGAGCAGGGCTTGGGGCCCTGCTGCAGTGGGGCCCCAGGGCAAGAGGCCCATCTTATTGGAGCTCAGCTTGCTCATCTGTGAAACGGGAGCAGCCCTCCTTGCCTGACTGCAGCCTACGAGGGCCAGTGTGAGGACAGGAGGAGATGACAATTAGGAAGGAATCCTGCTGTCTCCCACTGTCACAGGTGCACAGACTGCTGAGTGCCTACCTATTCTGGTCACAGCACAGGTGGTCCCATGAGGATCACTGCTTTGTCTCTTGAATCTCTACAGTGAACCCACGCAGTGGGGCCTGGCACCTTCCACAGGCAGCAGAGGGAAAACCTGAGGCTCGGGGCACTGTGACATGAGGAGCTTGGCGGGTCTGGGATTTGAACCCAGCTCCTCTGGCTGCAGAGGTGGTAGCTGCCCCAGCTGCCCTTCCCCTCCAAGATGGCTTGGCCACACTCACCGTCTGCCCGCTGACTTTGGCTGACAGCACGTCAGGGCTCTGGGCCCGGAGCTTCCCGGCCACCACCATCTCCGAGCCCTTGAAGAAGAGCGGGAAGCTTTCCCGCGTGACCTCCTCCACGGCGCTGCTCGGGTACTCGAAGGCCACTGCCGTCAACAAGGGGTTGGCCACCTCCTGGTAGAAGTCCTGCAGGACAAGAGGGTGTCATGAGGGCCAGCCTGGAGTCTTCCCAGCGCTCTGCCCAGTCCAGCCCATGCTCACGGCACCTGCAGCTGCAGGGCGGAGTCCGAGTCCTCGTAGATGCGCCGGGCCAGGCCGCCGTTGTCCAGCGCCAGCTTCTCCAGGAAGGCGTAGCTGACGTGGAAGCCGAAGCCCAGGCAGAAGACGGTGTACCGGCCACCTACGGCCTCCCGCACGTTCTCCTGGATCTTTGTGGGGTTGATCTCCCCTGGACCCGTGGGTTTGGGAAGAGGGTGAGAAAATAGTGATTTGCACAATGGATATTTCTGGAACCTCAGAGACAGAAGGGCCTCAGCAGGCCCCTCCCTGCCCCAGGTGCCACAGCAAGCCCAGGTGCAGGCTCAGCGAGCCGTGGAGGTGCTGCAGTGCCCTCACCCTGGGTGGGGTCGCCGTCGGTGAGCAGGATGACGAGGGAGACGCTCCCCTCGGGCAGCAGCTCGTCCCGGTTGCTGCTGTCCAGCAGCTGCACGGCCATCTGCATCGCTTCGTTGATGTTGGTCCCTGGGGGCACACGCTGTCAAGGCGGCTCCCAGCAGCTGCCGGGAGCCCCACGGCAGGGCTGCAGAGGCACTCACCTCCAAAGGCCTGGATGTCGGCAGCGAAGCTCCTGGCCTCATTCACGTTCTCCGCTGAGGCTGGCACCAGGGACGGCTTCCACTGGGCCGCCTTCCCGCTAAACACGATGAGGTTGAACTGATCTTTGGAGCTGAGGTCATCCAGGATCTTGATTAGGGCTTCCCGGGTCTGGTCAGGGGGAGAGGAGAAGGAGCTCAGAGGGGTTCCCTGAGGGTTCATGTGCCCTTGGGCTGGCATCCCCGGACTCCTGTCTGGGGTGGGGACATGGTGTATGCTCTAGGGGCAGAGGCTGCCCCATGCTCTGGCCGACCTTGGCCCCTGGAAGCCCCCACCCAGGAGGATGGAGGAGGGAGGGTGCTTGCTGGACCACAGCTGACGGTGCGAGAGGCCTGGGAATTTTCAGGGCCCTGCCCTGGCCCAGGGGACCCACCTGCTGGATTTTCCTGCCGCTCATGGAGCCACTCTTGTCAATGACAAAGACCACGTTCTTGGGTATTGTGGACAGGCCCTCGGGAGCAAAGTAGTGCACAAAGTAGCCATTCTCAATCTGCGGCCAGAGGGAGACCACACCCAGGCAATCAGAGCTGCAGCCCTGCCCTGCCTGGGGCAGCCTCCTCACCCCAAATCTCTGGGCTCCTATGCTCCCCTTGTTCCAAACCCTCATCTCCATCCCACTGCTAGTCTTCCCAAATCCTCACCGTATTTCAGGGCTCAGCCCAGCCCTTCTCCCACAGAAGCTTCCCTTGCTCATGCACAGTTCACTAGAACACTCCCTACAACACTACCTCCTATCTGTTTTCGTATTTGACGTGGCTTATCCTAAAAGGTTCAGACACAATAAATGTGTGACATTTATCTGACATCCATCAGAACAGGGAAGACTTAACAAACGAATAAAAGGGAAGCATAATAACATCACAAAATAGTATGAAAGAAGCTACTGCAGTTGAGCACAAAACTGAGCCATAAGCTACCTGGCAGCAAAGGTAAAGAAGGAAACCACACAGAGCAGCTCTTCATAGAGACACACTTTTCTGCCTCTGAAAAGGATAGTTTCAGGGACAGACAACACAACGAAACTGCCTGTTTTCTGTCTGTGCCAGACCCTGGTGCACACTGCTAAGTAGGAGTGGTTATTTTCCTCTGCTAGACCACCCAAGCTCATACCCTTGAGGGTGGACAGATTTCCAGGTTGCCTGCTCTCGCCTGGAGTCCACCCACCTGAACGGAGCCCCCTGAGCGGGTCCGGTTCACATCATAGCGGATGATGAGGTTGCCATCCAGGACTGTGTCCTGCTGCTTTGGGGACTTTTGCTTCTGGGAGAGTGTTGGCTTGAACAGGATGTGAGCCTGGAGGAAGAAATGGGCTGAAGGTGGGAGGCGCAGCGAGGCCAAGCCAACACCACCATCTACCCTGTTGTATACTGGGAAGTCTGAATTCCAGGATGCAGCCTTGGGTCAGGTTTCTAGGGAACTTTCTCTCAGGCTGAGCTATTGATGTCCTGCTTCCATGCAGGGGAGAGGGTGTGAGAGCGAGTCCCGTTCCTGGAGCTGTGCAAGCAGAGGCTGGGCTCAGGCTGTGTGGGATCAGCTATCTCCTCTCTCCATGTGGTCCTAGGGCCCTCACATCAGTCTACTCCAAGTCCTTCCCCCACAGACCTCAGGGCTCATCCAGGGGCCCCTGTCCTTCTCCAGGCCTTGACAGATGACAGCATGGACACAGAGATCTCTGGAGCCCTCTAGCTCAGAGAGTCTCCCCAACTCCCTCCAGGCCCATAGGGCGAGACTGAAGCCAGGGCCCTTGGCTTCGCCCCACCTGCTGACCTCGGCAGGCCCACCTTGGTCGCGTTCTGTGAGATGGTGAGGGCGTCTGCCAGCTCGTTGGTCACGAAGGTGCTCTCTGTCTCCAGGAAGCTGATGCCCTGCGGCTCAAAGATGTGAATGTCCATCTGGAGGCAAGACATGGGGCACCGGGTCAGCTGGGAGACCGGGTTGGGACTCACGGGAAGCTCAGAGGCAAACAGGGGTCACCTTCAGCAGGGAAAGGGTCACCCAGGAGGCCTCCTGGGAAGAGATCGTGCCAGGTACCTGCAGATGCTTGACCGGCTGCTGGGGCTGCACTTTCAGCAGCAGCTCGTACACCCCCAGATGCCGCCTGAGCAGCTCCTCATACACCAGCTCGAAGGTGACCTTGGCAGAGGGGGCCACGCTGACCGACACCTGGAACTGCTCCGTCTTTCTCCCGGCGGCCCTGGGAGAGGAGGGTGTCAGGCCTGCTGCTCCAGGCCAGGTGGGGGGAGGTAAGGCTCCTGGAGGTGGGAGCAAGGCCAAGGGTCGAGGCAGGGCGGCTCTGTCTACACCGCCCCCACGCCACCCCTCCCCCCACCGCTCACTGGACGAGGCCCGCGCTCTGGCCCTGGGCCACGGCCGCGCTGTACTGCTCCTGGGCTGCAGCCTTCTTCTTGATGCTCCCGGGGTAGGTCACGCCGTCGATGGTCCTGGGGGCAGGAGAGCCTGGTGGGAGGGGCCCCTCCGATGCGGGGCACAGGGTGAGGGCAGGGCCTCCACAAGCCGCTGGGCCTCCCCTCCCCTGAGGCGAGCGCAGTGTTAGTAACACGCCTTTCAGAAAGGGACTGCGGAGGGAGGCCGCAGAGGCCAGGCTGGGTTGAATCCTGCCCCCCTTTGCCTGCCCAGGCTGGCCCCACGTCCCCACCTGCCCTTGCCCCTCACAGACCGTTCCCAGAGGCGCCCAGCCCGGCAGGGCCCAGACTGAGGAGGAGCCAGGCACAGGCTGCAGGCTCTGCCCCTGCCCCTGCGCCGTCTCCGTCCTGCTGGGCACAAGGCAGGCACTCTGCCGGGCGGGCCCCTCTGGAAGTCGGTTTTGGACAACGGGAGGTTGGGACTCTGGGGGGGTGGACGCTCCTCGCACCCATCCTGTGGGGCTGAGAGCTGCCTGAGCTATTTCTCTGGCAGGAGAATGACTCCTCCAGAACCTCCGTATGGGGCGAGCAGGGCTGTGCAGGTACACATGCGCCTGCTTCTCCAGGGGGTGGCATGACAGGGTGGGAAGGTGCAGCTGGGTGGCAGAGGGCCCAGTCAGCACGCTGGGACTCCACGGCCCTCCTCCCTGACCTTCCTGGTTATAGCTTAACTCTGGGCCAGGATGGGGGCTGTGAGCGGGCAGCAGGCTCCCCCTCCCGGAGACAGTTCCCGGTACCCGGGGCTCCTGGCCAGGTCGGGGAGCAGGGAACCCTGCCCTCCGCTGCCCTATCTGCTGCCGCAACAGCATCCGGGTTCAGAGAGGGGTGGTGACTGCCCTGGGCCCCCCGCAGGTGCCATGGCAACCTACCCCCCCTGGCACCCATGCCGAAGGCTGGCACAGCTGCGAGGCTCGTGGGGCATGGTGGGCAGCACAGACCTGAGCTCTGGGGTGGGGAGAGTGGGGGCTGCTGCGGAGTTGGATATGGGTGGGAGAGAGGGGCCAACCACAGGGACCCCAGCCCTCCAAGCCCGTCTGGCCGTTTCCCAGAGGCCCCAGGGTATGTTGGGGACCCTGCCTAAAAGACACTTCCTCTGTTCCCTGCCACTGCCCTCACTGTTTCTGGGAGCAGCTTCTCCCCTGTCCTCAGTGACGGCCTCTCCCAGGGCCAGGGTCAGATATTTAGCAAACATTGCAAAACCGAGTCAGCAGAGGACAGAGTGGGTGAGGATCAGCACTGGCTCAGAGTCCACAGAAACCCCAGATGAGGCCGAGCGGAACACCCTCTGCGGCATCCCAGTTTGGGGCAGCCAAGGAGGACCCCTCCTCAGGGTGACTCCCCGTTGTGGGGCAGTCCAGGGGTTAGGACGTTGTCCACATTCTGCGCTAGAATCTGGCTTTGGTGACTTGCCAACTGCCTGAGTGTGGCGTCAGGATGTGCTAAGTTGGTGCTCCCGGAAGGCACAGACAGAGATGCCATGGCTCTCTGCTGCGGCCTGGGCACGCCGCGATGGCGGATGAGGGGGGCTCCTCCGTAAAGCTGAAGACGCCTCCTGCATGCCTCCCTTCAGTGAGGGGGAAGATGGGGCACCGGGCGCGGGGTGAGGAGCGGGCGGGGCGCCTACATGGAGAAGTTGGTGAGGAAGGCCTTCTTGGGCAGCTCCATCTGGAAGGTGGCCTCCTGCACAGTGTCGGCCCTATTGACCACCCGGCTGGTGACGACCGTGTGGGAAAACCGGGACGAGACCTTGGAGTCCACGGTGAGGCTGTAGATGTCGATGCCATTCTGCAGCAGTGAGGGAGAAGGGGTCGGAGAGTGCCAACGCCACCGAGCTCGGGGCAGCGCTCTGCAGGAGGCCAAGCCTGCCTCCAGCCCAGCCTCGCCAGCCCGCCCGCCCGCAGCACGCCTCAGGCTGACCCCGCAAGGCCTTGCACGGGCACTCTCGCCTCAAATCAGGCAGCTGTGTGCTTCATCCCCACCCCGCAGTGCCGGGGGCAGGGCCCACAGCGCCCCTTGGAGAACACGCATGCGGCCTGGGCGGGGCAGCCTGGGCCCACAGCGCCCCTTGGAGAACACGCATGCGGCCTGGGCGGGGCAGCCTGGGCCCCAGTGTCTGGAAGGGAGGCCACACTCATCCTTTGGGCAGAAGTGAGGCCGGTGGGGTCAGGAAGCTTCCTGTGCAGGCTTAGCGCTGCCCCAGAGCTAAGGGCAGTGAACAGGTCCTTTGATTTCTGGAGGCTGTGGCTCCTTGGAAACGGGCACACAGCTCCTGCCAGCCCCCTGCCAGGGCCCAAGGGAGCTGGGAGAACCTGGAGGTAGCGGAGGGGCTAGACTCTAAGAGCCGGGATTCTTCCTCTTTGTCCCTTTCCCCACAGTGCACCCCCCCAGTTCTGCCACTCACATGCCCTTTGCCCCAAGGTCGGTGGTCCCCTGGAGGAAGGACACATGTGCACCCACGCACCACTTACCTGCCCACGCATACGATGCTCGTGTTTGCACCGCTGTCTAGCTGCATGTGTGGTTTATCACAGAGGTGCGGAGTGGCTTGTTTATGTGCTCGAGGGTTTGCTCTGCGCCCAGCATTGTGCTAAGCACTTTATAGGTGCTATGGGTTTGATTTCACAACAATTCTCTCAATAGGTTCATTATAACCCTGTTTTACAGATGAGGAAACCGAGACATAGCATAAATAACTTCCCCGAGGTCACTCGGCCAGGAGCCATAGAACGGGGCTCAAAACTGCATTTCCTCATCTGTAAAATGGAAAGATAGGATCAGCCCTTTTATTAAGTGGGAGGATATCTGTAAGGCCCTCGGGTGGTGCCTGGCAGGTGGGCAGCACCGTTCCTTTGCACACACACACTGACACGCTTGCACACACACTGACACGCCTGCACACACAGACGCTCTTGCCCACTTCCCAGACGTGTTCTCTCGTTCCCCAGCTCATGCTGCTCACGCACAGGCACGCACTCAGGCACCCGTGGATGCCAGCTACCTTCCGGGCAGTGTTGGTCTGGAGGACGGCCAGCAGCCAGAGCAGGACCAGCGTGAAGCCGCAGGTGCGGACAGCGGCTGGGGGCTTCATCGTGGCTCCGGTGTCCGCCAGGCTGCTTCTCAACCGAACAGCAAGTGGGGAATGAATTAGTAACTTGCTTCTGCCCCGCCCCTGCGGGGGCAGGTTCTGAGAAATTGGGATCTTTAAGCCAAAAACTGCAGTGGCTTCAGATAAGCAGGTAAATGACGAATGTCCCATGAACCTTGGCTGGGGGCAGGAGCATCTACTGAGGAAAGGCAGGCTCAGGTTGGAGTTGGGTACTGGCACCCCTTCTGAAGGGCCCAGAACCTTTGCAGCCCTCACGCCAGTCATTCCACCAGTGAGCTCCGCAGGGCTGGGGGGACAACAGTGAAGATGCCAGCCTGCTCTCCATAATCAGCTGGGGAAACAGGGCCGGCTGGGATGACTAGGGCCACTCCAAGTGGCTTCCTGGTAAGGGGGCCTTGGCAGCCAGGGGAGTGTGACAGGGCAGTGGGGGCCGCAGAAGGCATCCAGAGGCCCTTGCAGGTGTCTGCCTGGGGTAAGATCTACCAGGCCAAGGCAGGATAGATATGCCTCATTCCTGGAGTCCAGGGGCCCCCCAAACAAGACCTGCAATTTGACAATACAAAGTGAGAGTCATAAAGATGCTACATCCCGTGGCCCAGAGGTCTTGATGCAGGGAATGTGTTGACAGGAGAGCGTGGAACAAAGAGAGAGCTCCTGATGGGGGTTGGGTATGGAGGCCAGTCGTGCCAAGGGTGTCCATGGATCCCTGCTTGAGAGGGCAGAACGCCACTGTCATGACTGGCGTGACGCTGCCGCAGCCTAGACCCACGGCAGTGCTGGAATGCTGCCCAAGGCCCTGGGGTGAAGGTCTCGGTGACTTTTTAAAAAATAAAGCTGCCTTTAACAAAGTTGACGTGTTCCTTTTGTACCGAACAGTAAGGGAGTGAATAAACAGTAGGCACTGTGCGGCTGGCACCCGTGTTCCCTGGTGGCTCTGGGAAAGCCAGCTCCTGAGTCTGTGGCCACAGATGGGTAAAGATGAGTCATAAAAGTGTGGCCAAGTGCCAGGCCCTGGGTCTGGGAAGGAGGACCTCTCAGTGCCACCAGCCCTGGGGAGGGCCAGTCATCTTGGGGGCTGACAGGGGCCGGGAGGCAGTGGGTGTCTTCCAGAGGCTGGGGTAGGGCGCCATAGACTCCGGAGCTATACTATTTCTATGGCTGCAAGTAAATGCCCCTCCTTCGCACGACTAAGGCCTTATCTCTGTGCTCACCTCTACTGCTCACCCTTTGGCTCTGGATATGATTGTGACTACACAGGGACACATGCCTTCCATATCGGGGGAAAGAGTCTCCCAGGGGCCCCAGTGAGAGGCCCAGGCCCTTCCTCACGAAGTCTGCTCCCCTGGGGCACAGAGCATGGGCCTGACCACAGCTATATAAGGCCAGGCTGGCCGGGACCCGGGAAAGGCTCTGAGGAGTCAGCTCCATCTGCCCCCAGGATAGGCAGGCCTCGGCCCTGAGCCAGGCCCTGCCAGTCCAGAATGGAGCCACTGCCACTGTCAGCCTGCCCATGGTCTTGTCATCACATGGGGGCAAGTTCTGAATCTGACAGTTCCATGCACACAGGGGACACAGGACTGAGGAGGGACGATCACGCTGGCCAAGAATCTGGCATTCCCACGCCCCAGCAGCAGGGTGGGGGCAGGCTCGCCTTGCCATGTGGAAGAGGCGGCAGTAGCTCAGGCAGCTGTCTGCCCCTGGCCAGAGCGGAGCCTTGATCTGGCTTTGTCGTGGAGGGGCGCAGCTGGCAAGGCAGCAGTGTGAACAAGGGTGCAGGGGAGGGGGCTTTGAAGTCCCCAGGTGCTGCAGAGCCTTGGGGTCCTTGGAAGCAACTCAATGGCTTCTGTAGAAGGCAGAGGAGGATCAAACCCCAAACCCCACCTGCTCCACCCTGAGCAGAGTAACTGTGGGCTGGTTATGGAATAGACTCCAGCTCAGCTCCCCATCATACAGGAGAAACTGAGGCTCAGCAAAGAGTCTGGTGTGAGACACAGTTCAGCATCGGGTCTCCATGTCCCAGACTCCTTCTAGCATGTGGCATGGCCATGACAGCACCTGTGCTACCCCCGGGGCCCCCCCCCCAAACGCCCGGGAAAGGTACAGGACATGCTCCACGCCCCACCCCCCCTCCCTCCCCTGTAGACAGTGGCCGTGGCCAGTGACGAACACACACACTCCAAAGGCTGGGGCCACTCGGGCTTCCTCTTTATTGGTGCTGGAGCAGAGCTGGAGGGGAGAGGGGTGTTCTGGCATAAAAGAGAGTTCTTGGGAAAGGCTCCTGTGTCTAGGTGCTTTGGTGGTGAGGGGCGCGGCACGCACTTCTCAGCCAAAGATGCTCTTGTCGGGTCCCGCTTTGGGCTTCTCGAAGACGGTCTCTGTGCCCGTGCGTGTGCGGCTGAACACGGATGGGGCGGCCGAGCCGGCTTGCTCTGCAGGAGGCGGCAGTCAGCGGCGCAGGCAGCCGCCCCGCCTGGCTTCCGGGAGGGGAGGCCCGTGTCTCGAGCCCCTCTCTGAGCCCAGGAACTCTGGGATCTCAGAAAAAGACCCTTACCACCCCCCCATCTGTGCCCAAGCCCAGCCCCAGCCGACTGCAGCGCACTTACCGCACTCCCGCATGACCTGGTAGGTCTTGGACTTGATCTCCTGGTTCTTGGCCAGGCTCCCTCGAGCCCCCTTCAGGTCCTCCTCCTTCACAGGGGGGCGCTTCTTCTTGATGGGGGCTTCCTGAGTGTCAGCCTTGGAGACCCAGTCTTATCTTACCACTGGAGGCCTTAAGGTGGAAACCCCTTTCCTGCCTCCGTGCCTTGGCCAAGACCCCTCTTCTCTGCTCACTGAACTCAGGCTGATTCAAGGCCTCACTCCTCTTTCAGGAAGCCTTCCCGACTACACCCCTCCCCTGTGAGTCTGACTTGTCCACCTGCCCTTCCCCCCAGACTGGGAGCCCGTGGGGGCAGTGGCCACTGCGCCTCACACTGATCTGCCTGAGCGTGGCTGGGCACAATGGGCAAAGGGGAAGGAACTGGCTTTGAGGCTGAGCAGTCCTAGGGAACTTGGTCAGTTCCAAGACCGGCTCACTAGACAGCAGAGGGTCCCTTAGGGAATGCCCCTCTCCCAAGTGCCAGTGTTCACTTTGTTTTTGGGGGTGAAAATAGGGTAGACTGGAACCAGATGCCCACAAAATTACACTTGAAGGTCAGCACCCCCCCATGACAGTAGGAGGGGGACAGGCTGATCTGTCCCTCCAGTGCTCACCCTACTCCCACGTCCAGGTGCCTGTGGGTCTGTGGCCTTACTCCTTTCTCAGCCCTGGGGGCAGGTGCAGGGATTCCTCGCCTCACTGGGGTACCGGCACAGAGCCATGCGGCCACAGGCATGGCCTCGTGTCCACACACACACGCGCGCACGCGCACGATATAGCCTGTGTACAAACGTAGGGCCAGATACAGCCTCATGCGGACACACAGCACACACAGCCTCCTGTATACACATATTCACACACACCTCGTGTGTACACCCAGAGAGCCTCACGTACATACGTACACGATACCGCTTCTCGTGCACACACCCAGAGAGACAGACACGGCCTCGTACACAACTGCACACGCTGAGCCCTACAAGCAGCTCCCTCACACACGGCACATGCAGGATCTATACAAGCCCCACACACGTTTCTCCCCACCCCTCCTAACAAACCATGAACAGCACCAAAGCCGCCTGGACGGGGGTTCCCCAGGGCACCCTCCCTCAGCCCGGCTCCCAGGGCCGCGAAGCCTCCTGCCGTGCTTGGAGCTCAGCTCGGGACACAGCTGCCAGCACTGGCAGTGTCCAGGTCCCAACCTCCACTCCCTGGCACCAGCAGGCCCGTGCTGGGCCCCCACCTGGGACATGGCGAGTGCTGTGCAAGCGCTGGCCTCCAAAGGCGCCTCTCCGGCGGCAGCAGCTGGCGAGATCTGAGCGGGGCCAGCCCTCTGGAGCTTATATAGCTGCCTGCCCGTCCTGGAAGCCACCCCCGCACCGCAGGCTCCCTGATGATGCAGGCCTGCCGCGCTGGCTTCAGAGTTTATTCTCGGAGATGAGAGGGGCTCTCCGAGCACTGCTGCCTGGACAGCTGCTTTGCTCGCAGGCGGGAGGTGCTGGCCCCGTGGGACTGGCTGTGCGTGTTTACGGATGTGGGTCCCGGAATGTGCGACAGTCGACAGTCGGAACTGTTGGAGTGCTCATAGCAGGGTTGGGGCGTTCCTGAGAAAGGGGAGGGCCCTCGCCATCGGACCGCTCCGCTCCGAGGTTGTTTTCCTTTCTCTTCCACCCCTTCCCCTGGACTCCAGGAGAAAGACTTTCCGTCGTTCCAGGGCAGCAGAGCAGAGCTTCCTGTGCTCGTCACTATGACGCATTTGCTCAGCACGATGAGCTGACTGGGCCCTACAGCTACCTCAGAGCGAGGGGCTACCACTGGTTTATTGGCAGGGAAACTGAGGCCAAGGGGAGCTGCTCATGTTTTTGCTGGGGCCCTTTTTCCTCTGGCGGGCTCCCAGTGTAAGTTTAGCAAAGGGACAAAGCGAGGTTGGGGATGAGGGCCAGGAAGGACAGGGAGGAAGCCATGCCCGAGGGCGAGGGCGCCAGTGAGAGGAAGGCAGGGAAGTGTCTCCGCAGAACCTCGGACTGGGCGAGGCTGAGGGGGGGACTGGCACTCTACGGAAGGGTTGAGTTGCTGAAAGAGGGAGGGGAGAGTGAAGCCCACACCTGGTATTGAGTTGTGGAGACAAGAACAGCCTGAAGCCTCCCCTGAAAGGTCGCTTAGTTCTCCTCTGCTAGAAGCTTCTAACACCCCATCCTCGCAAGGGGACGATCCCCCGGGGCCCAGGGCAGGACAGGAAGCCTGGGGCTGGTGTGGGGAGAGATGTGGGTGGGAGGTCAGGGCCCTGCTAGACCAGACATACCAAGCTCCTTTCAGTTTGTGATGGAGATTATTTTTATCCTTCAAGGCTTAAGGCAGACGGAACCCAGCCAGGCGCTGACATTTGGTTATCCCAAATGCCACTCCACTACTATCATACCTCGGACCCCACCCCGCCCCTCCACCTCCACTCCCGGTGCCAGGAGGCCAACGTGAGGACTGCTAGGCTTGACGGGAGACGAGTGCTGACACGAGGAGTGCCCAGGCCCCTGAACACGGGCCAAGGGCAGGCTGGGCCCCGCCAGGGCCTTCTGCCAGCTCTGGGGGCCGCGCAGCAACTGACGCCACTGTTCCGCCCACAGCTGGCTCCACCCTGGGACATGGGAGGTGCACTCCTCTCCCTCTCCCCAGCACAGCTCCCTCAGGAGGGGACTGGCCTCAGGCCTCATTCTCGAGGAAGTGGAAATGGCAAGAACGTGCCTGGTCTCCGCCCTCAGCAGATTCTGGCTCCCGTCTCTGCCACGGGGCCACGTATGGTTCATTCTCACGCTGCTTCCTGAGAAGAGCCTTCTAATTCACTGGGAACATTTTTTTGACCCCACTAAGCTGTTTCAATTTCAGACAACACACAACCAACAACCACAAAAGTGATGGTTTTTTTTTTTTTTAAAAACCGTAATAAGATGTCAAACTTTATTGTAAACCCCATTACAACGTAAGTACATCATCTTCCCTTTCATTTCAAAAATGTGTTCCCATGAATCGTAACACCCCCCACTGGATGGCAGCTGAAGTGGCCATGGTTTTGCTCACATAGGTCTGACTTCTAATTAACTTCATGGGAAAAAAATCAAATGTAAAGCAACCAAACCAACCAACCAACCCAGGAGCTCAAGTTACTCACGGTAACATGGCAGACCACGAGTCCCTCACCAAAAAACAAAGCCCCTCACAGCTACCGATGCTTCACAGGTGAAACAGAGGGCTATGCACTCTTAGCTACATGCGCGTGAAACTTTAAAAGCCAGCCCCACACCCTCCAACGTGGCTGCCCTGGCTGGTGGGAAGCTCCTGGAGCTGCCTGTCTTGGCCTGGCTGCAAAACGGCCAGTGAGCCGCAGTCTGGAGGGCAGAGCAGGCTGCGAGCTGGGCCCTGTTTCCTGCCAGGGTCCTGGGACAGCTGCTGGATGTGCACTTGGGGCTGCAGCTCACAGGCCTACTCTGCCTAAGGAAGTTACAACTTGGATTTGAGCCTTTTTTATATTTTCCCTGAAGAAAGGGGCACAATAGGTGGCATTAACCCATGACTCCCTGTTGCCAGGGAGAGCACAAGTTAAAGCCTGAGGCAGGAGGCCACCAGCGTGCCTGGGGCTGAGGAGCCACAGACTCTTACCTTGCATGTGTTTTGGCTGAGCGGACCAAGAAGCCACCACCATCCGGGATCTCACCAACATTTCCCCCACGCCCCTTGTCAACATCCCTCTGACAACAAAAGGAAATAACACAACCACCACCTCTTCTGTTCAGATATGACAGTTCTACCTCATCAGCTTATTTCCATTAGTTACAAGAAACTTGTTCATGACCTTGGCTTTCCAAGTTTCCATCATGGGTGGCTTGGCCACGGTCCAGATTGGGACAAATCAGCACACAGTATCCAGTCGGCGGCCCATCATTTCTCACATGCGGGATGCACGCCAGGTGGCTAGGTGAAGAGCTGCACCTCGTAAGGCACCTTGGGGCAGGTGGTGAGGAAACTCATCCTGGGAGGGAGGCAGCTCAGGAGGAAGTCCTGCCCGCAGCACTCTCATGTTTCGCGGGACGAAGCACCACGCAAGAGCTCCGGTGACTGCAGGAGGCACTCCTGGGGGCACAGACTCTCATGCGTATGTGCGTGTGCGTGTTCACACTCATGGGAGGAGGGGAAAGCCAAAAGCAGAGGCCACACTGTCCAACCCCACATATAAGAGGTCCCCTATGCTCAGATTCGCTGTCAGATCTCCATTCCTGGGTAGCCAGCTACACAGCTGCAGCTCACAGACTAAAGCCCTGTCTGAAAACCAGGCTACAGGGAAAAGCCATCACTCACGAGCTACCTCTGTCCCCAAACCCACTGCTCAGTAGGAACTGGGACAAGCCTTGAAAGCTCTCTCAGCCCTGCTCTCTTTTGGAAACATTAGGAGCCCAAGACTGAAAATGAAGCTCCAATTTTGTGCTCCAGGAAGGCTGAAGAAACACCGCTGCAGGCACGAGCTGTTCAAACAAAACAGCAGGGAGGAATTAGAACTGAGTCAGCATGCCACGAGGAAGAGACTGCCCACCAGGAACATCAGTCCTGGTCATCCCGGATTCGACTCGTATGGCCTCCTGGCTCCAGCTGCTCTTCCACACTAGGGGAGCGACTGGCGTGGAAAGACTCACCACCACAGCTGGAGGCGAGAAGAGAGTAAACGTGAACAGGAGCAACGTGGACCCGAGATGGAGTCCAGTCTCAGGCGCTGTCCAGCCTGCCCCTCCTCTTGGCCCCAGGCCCATACTGGCAGCGTCTCCTATGCACAGTTATGGTGCCCGCCCCTCTGAGCCCCCTGGCTCTGCACTCCTGGAGGAAGATGGGCTGCAATGCCTCCTGCCCCGGCTTGCCCCAAGTCCAGGACACGAGGGCCAGTGAGAGGCAGAAGACAGGTCAGGGTGGCTGGTTTAATAGCTGGGCTTACATGCCACCATTCAGACCTCATGTGTTTAAGTAAAACACGTTTTTATGTAGGTCTAAAAGAAGGCTCTGGCCGGGCGCGGTGGCTCACGCCTGTAATCCTAGCACTCTGGGAGACCGAGGCGGGCGGATCGTTCGAGCTCAGGAGTTCGAGACCAGTCTGAGCAAGAGCGAGACCCCATCTCTACCAAAACATAGAAAGAAATTAATTGGCCAACTAAAAATATATAGAAGAAATTAGCCGGGCATGGTGGCGCATGCCTGTAGTCCCAGCTACTCGGGAGTCTGAGGCAGGAGGATCGCTTGAGCCCAGGAGTGTGAGGTTGCTGTGAGCTAGGCTGACGCCACGGCACTCACTCTAGCCTGGGCAACAAAGTGAGACTCTGTCTCAAAAAAAAAAAAAAAAAAAGAGTAAAAGAAGTCTCTGAGGCTCTGAGTGGTGTCGCTTCCCCTGCACTCGTCTCACTTAAGGCCTGGGTTGTCTCCCTTCCAGCTTGTACCTTAGAAGGGTAGTTTCCTGTTTCTAAACATCCACGCTGCCCGTGGCTTGACAAACCACTGGGCAGCTCTTTCTCCAGCAGGGACATTGCCAGGGTCGGCCCATTCCACCGCCACTCGGCAAACTCCCAAAGCCACGGGGGCCCAGGGCCATGCTGAGGAGTGGGGGCACAGCCTAGAGGCACCTCACCCTGCTTGTGGGTTTAGAGAGCGAGCTTTCTCACGCACACCCATCCAGCCACCTCACAGCTTTGGAGGGGTGAAAGCAGCGTCGCTGTCAGGCAGACGTCCCCCAGACTGCTGTGCAGAGTGAGCAGACGACAGGCACCAGGGCCGCGCGAGGAGCTCCCGGATGTGGGCCCAGAGCTGGCTCTGAGGGCTGCAGCAGCAGGGGCGGGCGACCGACACTGTTCTAGCTAGAGCTCTGCAGGCTCCGCAGAGAGGCGGGGAACACATGGGAGAGTGGGCAGAGACAGCAAAGACACAAAGACCTCTTAGGTTCCTTTCTCGGTCAAGTTTAACCAAGACCTCTGACCTGCCAGCAGACAGACCAAAGAGCTCATGGGCCCTGGGAAGAGCCCGTCCCATTCCACACCTGTGTCCAGACCAGCTGGCCCATGCTCAGGCCTGACTCCCTCCCTCCCAGGCCATGTGCCGCCTACGGTAGGACACCATCTAGCAATATTCCAAGTGGAAAACTCCTTAATTTTCCCTCCCACCAGCTCACACCCCATGAAAGGCAAACAAACCCATTTCTTTGGGGATTAAAAAGAGTTTTAAATACAATAGTATGAAAATATAACTTAAAAATATAAAAGTCAAACAGCATACGGAAGACTTAAAAATCTCTGTTTTGCCCATTAGTCCCAAAGGTACTTTGTAGGAAATAAACACCTACTCAAAAACCAGTAACACTGCCACGGCTCATAAAACCGGCTCCAAAAATCAATAGTTACAAAAGCCATTTCTAGTAAGAAAGCATTCTGGTTCTGACTTGGTCAATGAGTGACTTTTAGCCCAGATTGCGTCACGTGCTCACACTGCCCACAGCCCAGCAAAAGGGCCCCGCAGTCTGCGTGTGCCTGCCTTCTTCCTCCACGCCACCAGTCGGACGGGGCCGGGCCTCGGGGTCCCTGACAACACTGCTCAGGACAACAACAAACAAACAAAGCTCCTCGCTTGCATATTTGGTCAGTGTTTGTAGTGCAACTGAGTGGGGACCTCCAGGCGCCCGTGGCCCTGCGGGCGCTGGCTCCTCTCCCCTCTCTGCAGGCCACAGTAGTCTGGGGCGGGTAGAGTGGGCAGAGACAGCACGGAGTGGAGGTAGAAGAGGAGGGGCAGAGAGAGGAGGGGAGGATCGACGTGGCCGACCGGGCCACAGACCCGTGGCCCGTCACCCCCAGCAGGGGACTGTGTCATACAGGCAGCCCAAAGCGGTGCTTCTTTTTCTTCACAGGCTTGAGCGGGGTCAGTCTGCGGAGATCCTCCTCCGCGTCGGACTCCTCCATCTCGTCGTCGGCCGAGATCAGGATCTGAGGCGGTGCAGAGGCCTGAGTCACCACCTGCAGGGCCTTCTTCATCCGCCCACCCCAGACAGACCCTGGGCTCCCCAAGGAGGTGGCTATCTTTAGAAGAGGAGAGGGGGACAGGGAGGCCCCTCACACAATGAGACACGCTGGCCCAACACAGATCGCATTGGCTCCAAGGACAGTCACGGGCTACTAAAACCCACGCTGTGTCCACAGACCCCCTTCTTCTGCTAATGCTCCCCACTTCTCATCCAACCTCCAGCGGCAACCAAACCCCTATCGGAGCAAACTCTGCAGGGACCTGCAGCCCAAGGCTATCCTCGGAAACAAAAGCTCAATCTTGGCACATGGAGTCCCGGGTCCTTGAAGTTGCCTTAAACACACAGGAATAAAGCCTCTTCCAAAAGGAAAAGAAAACCTCTGTGAGGCACACACAAGTGGGGCTTCCAGAGCTTTGGAGTGGCTGTTCTGAACCAACCTTGAAACTTCTGAGGACAAAGGGGAGCACTTTGCTTTTCTGAGCCCCGGATGACTCGGCTGTGCAGATGGGTCACCTCGGGCAGACATGTCCATTCCTGACACCTGTGGGGACGCCGCCTGGCTCCTGACACCTCTGAGCACCAGGGAGAGACTGGAGCAGCCCATGTCAGGAGCAAGAGGTCCAGTGCCCACCTGCGCAGGGGTGGCCAGCTCCTTCAGGCACACGGTCGCCCTCGGACTATTCCCTCACAGGGCCTCCCTCCTGCCTCCAGTCAGGCCCTGAGTAAACACTTGCTGCTCTCGAATGCTGGCACGAGCACAGCCCATTGCTCTGCCTGGATCATAAGCACCTTGCCCATCCAGCTCCAACTTTGCCTGTCCTCATTTCTTGTCCCTGGAATATTCTGGAATACACGCCACACTGGCCACAGTGAATTTCTCACTATTACGTAGATGCTAAATCATGAGACCATAAATGCTCATGAGCTGCTTCTGCCTATAGCACTATTTGTCATTCACCTAATGCTCACCAAACTGTCACATCACAGGCCCTGGCCACATTCTAAGGACATGCCCCTAGAGAAGACAGGGGCTTATCCTCTGTCCTACCCATCTATTCGTCTTCTATAGCTCCCTCCAGGCTGCCCAGGGTCCTCCCGAGTCCTGCTATGCTTCCGTCCCAGAGTGTACGACGAACGTCCATGCGTTCACCTGCACCTCACCTGCAAGTCTCAAGGCCTCCTGGGGGAGCATCAGTCCCAGCCACTTCTGTAGCCCACCCTCCCCCCCGCAGCACAGCGCCCAGCACACCGGGGACTCCCCAGGGCCTCCCACGAGTGGGCCCCACCTCACCCTGAGGCACGCAGGCCTGGAGCCAGTGCTGCAGGCTGCCGGAGCTCGCAGCCTGGCCAGGGCTGCTGTGCGCTACCTGCATCCTTCCCTGAGCCCCAAACCTCTAGACTCAGGAGACTGGAAAATGAGGGGAGACGAGCTTCCTTCTGTGAAGTCTGGCCACGCCTATGTTTTAGAAGTTTCCAGCTGGTTTAGCCAGCAATTCCCTTGCTCTTTCATGGTGGGCAGTGACTGAAATACCTTAACACTTGAAGGTCAACCATCAGGCCTGTAGGGGCCTTGCCAGCTCCCCTGGACATGGCAGCCACTCAGGCCTGTCCTCCTCCACTGGCGGGGGACTGCTGGGAGCAAGCCGGCCGTGGGGCAGGCCCAGCTGGGTGGGGCAGTCTGTGCCCTTGGCTGTTCTCTGGCTCAGACTCTTCCCCCTCCCTCCGACTGGCACCATGACTCAGCACTTGAGCAAAGACCAGGGACCTCCACGGCCAGGGGTGGGATGGCTCAGGCCCCCAAAGAGCCAGGGAGGCTCCTACCTCAGACTCAGACTCCTCGTGGGACGCGGCCCGCCGATAGCGGACCTTGCTCCCGTTCCTTGAGTCCTGGTTGGCTCCCCTTTCTTCTAGCTTAGCTTTCGTCTTCCCTTTTCTCATGAGGAAATTGTCCACTACCCAAAACATCAAAGCCTGTGGGGAAGAAGAGTGCGGGTTACTCTGGGAGAAACCACTTTGCAGAGCAGAGCAGCCCCCAATCTGCCTGTCCCCACCCCCTTCCAGAGCACAAATTCCAGACTACAGAGAGGAAAACCTCATCTAGCCCCTCACTATCTCCCGGAAGCTTAGAGGTTCCCAATCTCTATTTTCTTTGCTTCAGTTTTCTTATCAGAGAACGGGCAAGAAGCTGCCCGCCCTAGTCACTCTGAGGGGTTTTCGCTGTGGTTACAGACGGGACACCTGCGCCGGGGCCCTCCCACAGATCCTACGCGGTGGCGGGCATGCTCGCCATCGTCCGCCTGTCCCGGCTCCTTCACCATCTCTTCTCACGATCTCTAACTTCCAGCCATTGTGCCCACGAGTTTCTCTTTGAGCTCTGTGCTCTGGAATACAGGACTGGGTACACTGGAAGTGATCCTTGTCTACCAGCTGGTGCTGTACAGGGGATGGGACTCTTTGGTGGGAGGGCCCCAGCAGGGAGTACAGACAGAGCTCCCAGGACCCTCCATCCTACGCAGGAGCCCTGGAGCGGGACCTGCCTCTTGAGAAACAATCCCACCATTTCCAGGTCTGGGGTGGGGGCAGGAGGTGGCAAATGGTCACACAGAACGACCTGAAGGCTATAAGGTGAGTTTTCTCTCAGACTCAGAGCACTGGAAAGGAACCCTGGCAGGCAGGGCACAAACTGGGGTAAAAATGCAGCATGGCACTGACGTTGACAAAGAAGGGGACGATCAGCATGACGATGGCCAGTTTCAAGTCTGGGTTTTCAATGGGATTCAACAGGGCCACCTGTGAAGAGAAGTGGACTCAGTGAGGTGGGGAGAGGCCCCCAAGAGAGCGCAGGGTGGGGTGGAGGTGGCCATGCCCTGGGCCCCGAGAGGGAGCTTAGCTTAGACACTGCCCCAGAGCCTGGTGGGAGCAACACCTCTACCTAGTGCTGCATGGCCCCCCAGATGGGACTGTTAACGAGGGACCCCCTGGGGACCACACTGAGCAGCTGGTGCTCTCATAGCTTTCCCCTCGGTATGGACTTGCAAAGTGCAGTGGGCCTATAGCCACCAAGCCAGAGCAAAGCAATGGCACCGGAGGGCGGAGTGCTGGAGGGGTGAACTCAGGGGACACTCATTGCAATGCAGCAGTGAGGTGCCGCACTACTTTCTAACAGAAATCCTGCACCCCAACCATCCCGAAAAACAACAGCTCTGAAAAGCCTTAGCATATTTTCTTAAAAAAATAAAACCCAGCCACAAATAAAACCAAAGGGAGGCCAAGATCTGAGCCAACTTCTCTTGTAGGCTTTTGGCTTGTCTCATGTGGGTGTGCAGAGATGAGCCGTGGAGGCTTATCTGCACGGCGCTGGGGCTGGGGGCAGAGGCCAGGGCTTCAGGATGTCAGTGGTCACAAATCATAGAAACTGCACATGGCGCCAAATAGCTCAGTTAAACCTCTAGCAAAGAGAGGCATGTGAATAGGTCATTTGCCACTGCAGAAACATTTACAGTTGCAAGGCCTGAAAACTGGCCTGATGGTAAGCAAGCTGAGGGCAGGCACTGTATTTCACCAGGTTTATAGATTCCAAGGCTTAATCTAGAGCAGACATTATATAAATGAAGTGGATGGAGGCTGAGTCAAAGAGGGACAAGTTAATGCTCTTACGAGTAGCTGCCATCGCAGACCAAATCCAGAGTACATTCATGGAGTTAAAACAGAAACAACTGCGGTTTCCCACGAAGGCTGGGGTGCGGGGGGCTGGGGAAGTGCTGTTTGCTTAGCTCAGCAGGGAGATGTAAAGCAGGGCAAGAGGCAAACCTTTTTCCACTGAAGTATTAACAGGACGATGAAGACGACAGATTTTTCAAAAATCATGATCACGATGTAAAGAGCGCACTGCCCGACCCAGGCTCCACACTGCAGAGGGTCTCCTGCAGGGACAGGCGGTGCTCAGTCACAGGGGGCCGGCATCCCAGCGAAAGCCCCCGCCCACCGCTCCTGAGCCTCACACCCCGCCCATACCCCAGGACCCTGGCTCTAAGGGCGCTTCATGAGCCCCCCAACCGCTAAAAATGACCTCATCCCTGAAAGATAAATGCAGTGTTTTAAATAAAATCAGGAATTAATTTGAAGATACCAAAATGGCCTTTCTTTCAAGAGATTCTAAGATGGAATTAAAAAGCACTAAAGTTAGTAAGTGCTCACTGCTGGAGCTCAGAAAGCTGCTGTCTGCCTGCTGGCAGCAGAAGTTGTGTGAAGCAAGACTGCTATTACCGTCCGCTGTTGATCCCTCCAGTGACTGCGGTGCTGCCCCCTCCTCCGTCCCTGAGCAGAGTGACTTCTCTGCGCGTCTCCCAGCTCCCCACCTCCCACCCAGACCCCGCTCCCTGGCCGTCCCTGATGCTCTCGCACTGAGAGCAGACATCTTTCTGGACAAATTCAGACTCTGACTGCCCCAACACCCTGGCCAGGGACGAGGAGGAGAGGAGCCCTCAGGGCAAGGGGGTAGGAGTGAAGGGCCCCGGCCTGGCTCTGACAAAGACACATCTGTGACCCCTTACAGTCACCAAGCCTGAGAACCAAGGAACCCAACAGTCCAAGCTGGGGACACTCAGGCCCTGCGCTGTCTCCAGAATGATTCAAAAGGTACTCAGAGGACAGGGACCAGCCCCTGCAGGGAATGATCCTGAGACACGCAGAGCTAGGGTGGGCCTGGGGGCTACACATGCCTCCTCAAAGTGGGAGCCACAGGGAGAGGGGTGTGGGGGAGGCTGCCCGGGGCTCCCCCTGTAAGCTCTGTTAGGATGGCCAGAAGAGGGGGTGGAGGGCAACGTTTCAGGGGAGGCAAAGGCCCTAATCTAGGCTGTGAGAAGAGAATTTGGCTCAAAGAGAAATCTCTAGCTTCTCATTTGGTTCTCCTTTTTCCGTAGCAATCCTGTTCAGGCGCCCAGGCTGGAGGCCCCCAGCCCTCCCGAGCCTGCCAGCCGTACGCAGTGCACGCGCAAGTGAATGCCATTACGCAGCTGTAATGGACAGAACAGCATGCATTCCCTTTTCTGGAAAACCCCGGGAGAAGTGTGGAAGAAAGCATGCAGAAACACATCAGTCGCCTCTTCTTTTCTACTTTCACTTAGAGGACAAGAGATGTTTGAGCCAAAAAAAGCATTTCAGAAGCACAACCCCTCCTTGCTAGACTGCTAACGGGGTTTTGCAATCCTTTCAGTAAATCGCCTGACCTGAGAAAAGTTCTCACAAACAACAACTGAAAGTATTTGTGAAAAGCGATTATGGTCAAAAACAGTCTGATGGGAAGCACTGGTAGGAAATCTCTCTGACGGGCCTGGTGTGTTTTGGAGGCTGCAGAACACGTGGCACCGCTTATTTACTACTCAAAGGGCGTCTGCCGGCTCCGTGTGCTCACTCCATCTGCTCTTAAATTTTAAGTGACTGACAAAAGAGGAAACTGCTTTTCCTCCTGTCTGCCTCACATTGCTCCAATGGTCTCAGTATTCTGCTGCATAACTTAACTGCATCTGCTTCTTTTCTCATTTAGATGCTAAAATTCAGAAACGTGGTGAAGAAAGAAAAAAAACACGTGTGACCCCACCATAGGGATCATGTCCCCGGGCGCACCCGGACCGCGCGGCCATGGTGGCTGAGTGCACCTGTGCCAGCATATTTCCTGACTCCTGTTTCGTGTGGGTCTTTCAAACACTCCCCAGGGCCTCGTTGTTAAAGGACAGACATGGTGGGTAGGGTTGGTGCGCCCTGCTTCTTACCACAGTTGGACAACCTCGGGTACCTGGGTGTGTTGTTGGTGTTGAATTATTTCCGCAGGAGAACAGGGGCCAAAAGGAGGGAATGTATCTGTGCTGAGAGGGCTTCCAGAAAGCATTTGGACAGGGACGGGTGGCAAAGCCCAGGTAGCCCGGTGCCCGTGGCACACAGACCTTTTCCCCTCTGCGTGGGAAGGAGGGGCCTGGTCACCAGACTGCAGACACCGGATCACTTGGGTCCGGTCTTGCCCCTCAGGGCTGTGTGGCTGATTTCCCTGAGTCCCATGCTCTTGTTAGCAGCTCATGACTTTTTCCAGGAAGAAAGGAAATTACCTAGAAAACAAGTCCCTCTTCTTCATTTACCTGAGAGAGCTGTGGGGCCGACATCAGTGATCCCCCCAGCCTTTTTGGCACCAGGGACCAGTTTCATAGAAGATAATTTTTCCATGGATGGGTGGGGTGGGGGGCTCTGTGGCCCAGTCCCTAACAGGCCTTGGACTGATACTACCCACAGCCTGGGGACAGGGACTGCAGGCCTTCAGGGGATTAAGGCCTCAAATGGTTATGGCCTCAGCAGGTTAACAGTTCTGGGAGGTAGAATAACATTCCTGCAAAGAAGCCTACATCTGAATCCTCGGGATACTTGAGTGTGTAATGCTACATAGCAAAGAGGGAACTGTGGCTGCGAATGGAATTAAAGTTGCTCATCACCTGACTGTAAGATAGGAAAAGCATTTAGAGTGTTCAGGTGGGGCCAATGTAACCACAGGAGACTTTAAGGTGGAAGGAGGCAGTGGGAAGGCAGAGCAATGCGATGTGTGCTGCTGTGAGGGCCACAAGCCAAGGCATGCAGGTGGCCTCTGGAGGCCGTGGAGTGCCGAGACAACCTCCCAGGGCCTCCAGAAGCCATCCCTACTGGCACCGTGAGTTTACCTGTGACAACCATGTCGAATTCTAAGTGAAGGAACTGTAAGGTAATCGATTTGTGTTGTTTTGAGCAGACGTTTGTAGTAATTTGTTACAGAGCAACAGAAAATAACAAATTGTCACAAACAGTAAACAACAGGTGGCAGGCAGATCCACCTTAGCACTGGTCAGCTCCAGTTGAGCTGATCCTTCCCCAAAGGGATCTCGACAGCAAAGGAGCAGTTGTGAGCACTGTTCCCGGAGGTGGTAGAGGGGTCGGGTGTCCTGGTGCAGCTGGCACGACGCTCCCCTAACCACTGGCTGGGTGAGCCTCTACGTCACTTAACTCCTCTGAGTGCCTGCTCTATAAATGAAGATGATGCCGTGCTGGTCCACAGGTGCTGTGGGCCGTTTCTGTCCTGCAGGCTGAAGAACGGGTGACTCGGAGCTTCTCAAAGCCTTCCCTGGAGCCCAGCAGGCTCACGCTGTGTGCTGGACACTATCTTAAGTCAGTGACTCATCGGGCATCAAGTGACGCGACTAAGAAAAGCCCTCCCTGAGTTCATCTCCCCTCAATGGAGAAAAACAATTACTTAAGACTTCTAGAAATACCCAAGGCACTCACAGCTAGCTCCCCTTTTAAACTGTCAGGCCCCTGTGGATCTTCAGCGATCTAGGAGTGAGTGGCCCTCGGGCCCAGAGCCATGAGCTCTTTGGTAGGCGTGGGCAGGAAAGGAGAGAGGGGATCCAGAATTCCATCTGCACTCCCTCCCTCTTGTCCCATGTGCCCCTCTCGTGGCAAAGGCTCCACTGCTACTGCTCCAACTGCGAGGAGGAGCGCCAGCTTGTGGACAGTGGGGGCCAGCTGTGAAGGTGGGAAAGAGCTGATGTCACCCCTTAACCCTGTCCTGAAACCCCAGAGGGCAGTGAGGGCCTGAAGAGGCACCCCTCACCAGCAGCCCCTGTTGAGGCCACATCCAGCTATTTCTCTCACTTTCTCATACAGCTTCCTACCTAAGCTGTGTCCCAGTGGGGTCTGAGATGGGAGCTGGTCACAGCCCTGCCAGCATCCACAGTCATCTGTTTCAAGCCGTGTCTCTGAGTGAGGATGAACCTCGTGTCCCTGGTGACTGGTACATACCAGATTCTGGGCTGGGGTGAGCCTGCAGTTGGGAGACAGTAAGGCAACTTGGTCCCCGAGGGGATGCACCTGCCAGTACTGGCTGTGTGAGTTCTACTCTGCCAACAGAATGGCCCAGTGACAGGACAAGCACAAATGTGCAGCAAAGAGAGGGGCAGAGCTTGCACCTCTACACAGTAAGAATTGTCCCCATCCCTCTAATGTGGTGGGCAGGTGCTGTGGGCTCTACAGGAAGCCTGGCAGAATGATGTGGCCTTGTGGCCCTGTGGGTGGGACCACTGGTGCCCTCTGGTGGAAGGGGCAAATGTCTGGCCTCCTTCCAAGTCTAGTGTCTCCTGGGTCCCGCCACCTTCCCTGCCACAGTGAAGCGGGCACCCATGCCCGCAGGTGCCCGCCAGGTGTGCTCAGGCCCCAAAACCAGCCCCATCACCAGCTGGAGACTGCTGCCAGCTCCTGAGCCTTTTCTGGAACCATGTGTGTGGCGGGTTGCACGGGGCAAGGAGCGGACCTCCCCACAGCCCCGCCGCACCCCGTCCAGTGCCCGCCGCACGTTACCATATTCGCCAAAGCGCAGGGACTCCCACTGCTGCCACTCCACCAGCACGCTGACGGCACGCACCCCCACGTAGATGAGCAGCATGCCCACGGTGGCGTCCAGGAGGAAGTTGATGAGGTACCTGCGAGGGGAGGGCACACCAGCACTGTCAGTGGCGCCCACCAAGGCTGGGGCCAAGGCTGACGCAGCCTGGCCGGAGAGGGGCCGACTGGCCTTGTTGGGGGCTGGCCGCTTCAAGGTGCCCATGCGGCTCTCCTGCCCCTCAGCTAACCGGGAGTCAAATGACTTGAGGGTGGAGGAGGGACAAAGGAACTTAAAAACCTTCGAGTGTTCCTGCCAGGCAAAGGTTCAAACAAGACAGAGTACCTGCAAGCAGCCAAGGAAATCAACAGGAAAACAGAACATAACTGGCGACAGACAGATCCACCCAGTGTCCTGTGCACTCCCTGAGGGCGCGGCTCACGCAAGGACCCCGGCAATGCTCTGCACCCTGGCACGGCAGGAAAGTGTTCTCTGGGGTTTCTTAGAAGAGGAGGGCAGAGCCACATGCCCTTCACTCACCTCCACCTGGAGTCCAGCGCAAGTACTATTCTACTTTAAAAAGACAGCTTTATTCCCCTCAGGACAAGGCAAGACGGCGGGAGGAAGGGGAGGGCACGCCTACACTGACCACGTGTCCTTGCGAGGTCTGTTCCATCTGTCTGGCACGACCTTTTCCCTCACCACCCGCCCTCTCGTGAGGGCCTTGCACCGACCCACCCAGACCCATGGCAGACTGGGTCACTGGGTCAGGTCCTGACCCTCTGTGCCACCACACGGCTCTGAAATCCTTGCAGGTAAGCTTCAGGACACCAGGAGACCTGGCCACGGCAGCTTTTGAGTTGCTGAGGCTTGAGGCACTGTGCAGCCAGCCTCCTACCCCAAGCCGGCCCGCCACGTGCACAGCGCGCTCTAGGGCAGAGCAGCATGGAAATCAGCGTGAAGAGGGAGGGGATAGCATTTCTCCCGCCTGCCCTTCCTCTGTAAAATCACAAGGGGTCACTCTCAGACCAGACATGGCAGGAAGAGCAACAGCTTCCAAGGCAATTTCTCCTCTGGCTCGAAGTTACACTGCTCTCAAACACTTAATTGGTGTCGAGAGCTTCTTGCACCTGAGTTCTTGCACCTGAGGCCCATCCTGAAAATGAGAACAAGGACACCTGAGGTATATATATGCCTTGCGTTCATTCACTCCCCAAATATTTACTGAGCCTGCTGAGTGCCACACCCTGGCAATAAAGAAAGAAAGTCCTGTGCTCAGTACTTAAAACAGGTGAGACTGGCAGACAGCAGAGCACCACGTGGTGCTGGAGCCAGACTGGGGTGGGGGCCCATCACCCCTGAAGTTACACAGAACCTCTCTGTGCTTCAGCTCCCCAGCAGTAAGATGGGGAGAATCGAAGTATCTGTAATATACAGTGGGCTGCTATGAGGATGAAGAGAGGCAGGAGATGGGGCTGGGATGAAGTGCGAGCCTCCTGTGCCACTCCGTCTGCTAAGAGCAGAACTGTTCAGCAGTGCTGTCAGCAAGGAGGACAGCATATGGTGACCAGACTAAGGCTGCAGACAGATCGCTCTGGGGCTGTGTGGAAGGCACAGTGCAGTGGAAAGGCAGAAGAACCCCTGTTCTCTAGGTTAAAGAAGTCAAGAATGGTCAACAACAGTTCTGACCCTGAGTGGCTGACACCAAAGAGAAGCCCCATGTGTCCTGGTTCCAGCAGAAACACACCACACCTGCAGGGTGTTATCTTTCCTTGCCAGGGGCTGCTTGGAAACTGGGAGACATAAAGGCAATAGAAAATCAAAGGACAGAATTTGGATTGATCAGCAGAAAGTCAATTCATGGGTCATATGTCACCATAAAGCCCTGTGAGCCAACTGACAGCTGTGTGTGAGCTCAGTAACAGCATGCACAGGGTGGCCTCTCAGAGGAACACAGAAGAGAAAGGGAAGCACCCTCTCCCCACGCTAGAGGGAGGACCAGCAGTGAAAGCGAGGCCAGCCTACATTTTGAATGCAGGGGTGAGTGATGTTTGTACTCAAATACGAACCACTTACAGTGAACAAGGGTCCTCTTCAGTGAGATCTGCTAGGTATACATTTGCAAAGTGGATGAACAGCATTCCTATGGCTTGTTTGGAAGTGTCTAAAAACCTGTACAAAATAGAACCAGCACTTGTTATCTGCCTAACAGGAGGGTACTATGCATTTTGGGGAAAATGAGATATCTGAAACAGGAAAAAAGTTGCCAGGGAGACCCCAACTTTCCAATTACTAGTCATCTCTTCCTGAGGCCTTCAGTACTAACTCAGGCCTGGCAATTCAGCCACCTTTCAAAACTTTCTGTAACACTGTCTTCGAAATCCCAAAAAGGCCATTTGCTTTCATTTATTTGGAGACAGAGTCACTCCTGGCTAGAGTACATTGGTGTCATCATAGATCAGAGCAACCTCAAACTCCTGGGCTCAAGCAATCCTCCTGCCTCAGCCTCCTGAGTAGCTGGGACTACAGGTTTGCACCTAACTTTTCTACTTTCTGGTAGAGACGAGTTCTTACTCTTGTTCAGGCTGATCTCAAACTCTTGGCCTCAAGCAATCCTCCCGCCTCGGCCTCCCAGAGTGCTAGGATTACAGGCATGAGCCACCTTGCCCACCCAGGCCACTATTAATCATATTTAAAATACTTGTTTTTAATTTTTCATTTTGTAACTTCAAAATAAAATGCAAGACTACAGCTTTGTGATGAAGCCGAAGGTGCCCCCTATTTTAAAGAGCCCCCATTTGACTTCACTCACAATGGGCTAAATTATTTGCAGGATTAATAAGACTTGTACAAATCCAGCACTAGTGGTGGATCCCTAAACAAATTTCAGCTGCTGCCATTTAAACAATGGGCTAGATCAGGGGCATGCAAACTTTTCCTGAAAAGGGCCAGAATAAATATTTTAGGTTTTGTGGGCCATATGTTTTCTGTCTCAACTGCCTGACCCTGCCATTGGAGCTGGAGCATGAAAGCGGCCACACATACCACTATTCCAGTAACACAGACTGGCCTGCAGCTATAGTGCGGGCTAGGTGACAGGTGTTTCAAAAAAGAGAAAACAAGGGTGTTAAACATGGGACACCATGTCACGCCATCCATATTGCAGGAGCATGGTGGTGACAGTGTGTGCCTTCAGACTCTTTTCTGCCACACTCATGTCTGACGTGGCCATTCACGTCTGTGGCCAAGGCACCTCTTGATTGTGGCCGCCTCTGTTGGCCTCTCAGTTGGACATCAGCCCCAGGGTCTCAGGACTGGAACCAACTATGGAAATTATCCAGACCAACCCTATAACCAAGGCTGGACAATCATTCCCTAAACTCACGAGAGAGGAGTAGCTACTAAAGGACAATGTGTGTAAGACACAGAGAGCCCCAAATCTAGGTCTTCACCAATTCCCTCCCCAGAGCTGAGGTGGGAGGAGTCACACATTCTAAAGTTAAATACCTACACTTAAGAGAAACCAATTGGGAAAAATAAGAATTAGCAACATTCGACAGTAATGCATTTAAGAACAAGCAAGAATATGCTTAAATTTTTATGAAGTGATCTTTTATCACTGAAGTTTATTGAAGTTTTCTTTGAAAGACAAAGGGATATTTTGTTAGGGCAGATGCCAGCCCAAAAAGGCACCTTCCTGTGGACACTGTGCTTTCCTGAAGAGCTATTTCATTCCAGGTGATTTATTTTCTTGGAGTTTTACCTTTAGAACCTATACCCGAAGCTTTACCACCATTTTACAAAGGAGAAACTGCCACTGCAGGACCATCCTATGTGAAATAAATACATGTTTGGTATATATCTCAAAATATATATATGAAATACATATATTTGGTCTCTGCTCTGTTTTCCGACGTGGAGCTCCTAAAACCCCTGTGATTCCTGAGTGACAAGGGTGCTAGGAATACCTTTTGTTCTAATATTTGGTCTTTGACCCCAGTTCCTGACACAGAGCACCTAAATAACCCCCCTGGAATTTCCTGGATGACAGGAGCCTTTTGTTCAAATGAGGTGAATCTTAGTGGGCTCCTGGACAGCTTCAGCAAGGGGCTAGTCACCGGAAAGACCAAGTCATGATGAGAAGCTTGGAACTTTCAGTCCACTCCCATGCTCCAGGGAGGAGAGAGAGGCCAGAGACAGAGTTAATAATCAATCACGCCCACGTGATGATGCCTCCATAAAAGTCCCTCAACTACAGGGCTCAGGGAGCTTTTGAGCTGGTGAACACATCCACACACTGGGACCCCAAATCCTACACCTGGGACCTTTCCAGACCTCGGCCTTTGTACCTCTTCATCTAGCTGCTCATCTGTCACCTTTGTAACAAACTGGCAAATGTAAACAAAGGTTTCCCTGAGTGGGGGAAATGGCTTCCCCTAAGCCATTCTAGCAAATTACTGAACCTGAGGGGGGCTGTTGGAACCCCTAACTTTGGAGCCAAGTTGGACAGAAGTGTGGACTACAACTGGCATCTGAAGTTGGGGGCAGCTTGTGGGACTGAGCCCTTAACCTGTGGGGTCTGTACTAAATTCAGGCAGTATCAGAACTGAATTAGATTATGGGACACCCAGGTGGTATCTGGAGAGAGAGAAAATTGGTTGGTGCAGGGAAAAAAAAATCCCATACATCTGGTATGAGAAGTGCTGTGAATAGAGAAATAGTTTTCCTTTATCCTAGGACCAAGAAAGACTAGTTTTAGGGAGAGGAGTATTTTCATGGCATGGCTGACTGATCTCCAAATTTAGATTGCTTTCTGCTTACACACACAGACTACAGAATCCAAGAATTCAAACCTGATCTAACAACAGGCAGATGCAGATGCAGGAGCCTGCAGCAGAGACTGTTTCTATTATCTTCTATCTTTCAACAGTGGAAGCAGAGTGATCATAAAATAAAGGTAGGGACCAAAGTTACCTGAAGAAAAAGAAGTGCTTTATATTATCCATAATTCTCAATGATTAACTCAACTAAGGGATCCCAGACACTGACGTTACGCATCATTTCTCATATTCCATCCCCTCCCCCCCCACCCCACCCCCAAAACCCCAACATTGTCAAAAGCATCCTCAGAATGCTGAGATACATACCATATCCTCCATGGACGTCTTTCATGCTTTGGTTCTCTGAAGCGTTTGACTGAAAGATAAGACAGACAGCAGTGGCTTTCCGAAGCAGCAACATAAAGTAAATAACATATAACAACTGGGCTATCAGTCTCCCCATGGTCTACGTAACCAAGTTAAGGTACTTTCTCTTTCAACATGTGACAATACACAATAAGCCCACCAAGGCCTGTACTGCTGATGACAGTACAGACTCTTCAGAAGGGGACACTCAGGAAGAATGACTCCTCACAGCCTGTGACAGGGTCCACTCAGATAAGGACTGGTAACAGCAAGGCGGAATGTAGCTGCTTCTAACTTCAGGATTTGTTCTATCCAAGGATAAATCCATCCAGACACCCAAATGTTTACTGAGTGCCTACTCCAAGCCAGGCACTAAGGACATAATGGCAAAGCCAGTTGTCTAGCACCTAGGGGGACAGACACATAACCACACAGCGTGACAAGTGCTAGAGAAGAGGGAGGTCTGAGGCAGAACGACGGCACAGGGAAGGATGGCCACCACCACCTGCCTGGAGGAGGGCAGCAGTCAGGACAGTCTCCCTGCTGGGAGAAGGTCAAGCCAGGCCCTGAAGGCTGGCAAACAGACCATGACCATGACGGGGATGGGGCACAGGGCGGGGCGGGGTGAAGACACATTCTGGGAGGAGTAAACACCACAACCTCCCTAACAGGTACAGGGAAGTAGCAGGGCAGAGTGTTTGGCATAATTCAATTTGGCTTCAACACAGCAGGTAAGCCTCGTTACCTGGGGGAACCTTCTGAGGGAAAGGCAGGTAACAGGGTGACAAATTGAACAGGGGCTACATGAGGGAGGGGATGAAATGCTGGGCCAAGGAGAATGGAATGAATCCTGTAGCAAAGGAAAAGCCAGGGAAGAGTTCTAAGCAGAGTCAAAGACATGTTGAACTGTTTTGTAGAAAGGCAGCTCTGTTAATTGGGCAGATGACGGATTTCTGGGGGTGGACAGGACCGAGAAAGGACACTGGCTATGGCCACTAGGTAGCGGGGCTCCCGTGGTGGAAGAGTCAGCAGGAACGGGGCGCTCATTCAGCAACAGCCTGATCCACCTCAGAAGGCCGAGGGCTCACCGGGTTGACACCTGTGCCTTGGGTCTGCAGACACAAAAAGGATTTGAACAAGAGGACATACAAAGTCCCGAAGCTACACATCCTCCACTGAGGGCTTGCACAATGATTCTGTCAACTAAAATGAGCACTGGGAGTGCTGCCTGTAGGATATTTTCCCACACAACCGTGCTGAGAAAGAAACAGCAACAAGCCCACAGAGGATGCCTCGTTACTACTGGTAGCAGCAAGCACCAACTTCTGGTGGAGTTCCGAGCTGCCAATGAGGGTGCAGGTGGAGAAGGGAGACAGGGAGGGAGGAAATGGTACCCAAAGCAATAAACCTCACTCTGAATAAATACAGGCATCCTGCACTTTGCAAAGCAAGGGCTGCCTCTACAAAGAACTGAAATAACAAGTCTGGTATTTAGGGAAACATGTTGAGAGAGAGAGAGACCAAAAAGCAGGTAGAATTGTAAGAAGGTCTGTCATTTCATCCACATGTTGCAGATCCAAGATCTCGACAATGCCAAAGAATCTAGAGTTGAGGCCAAGAGGTTCTGCTCCCCTGAATAGCTCTCAAAGGCCAAGAGGCTCCTTCCCAGGAGCCTGTCAAGTTCCCTTGGGGCTGGAGGCTCAGGAGGGAGACATGAAGGAAACTGGGGCAGGACAAAACCATCTGAAGGGAAAGCCTCCAGTCGGGGCCAGAGCCACTTCATGCTCCTTTGTTCTTCTGCTTCAGGGAATCTGTCCCCAGCAGTATGAAAGAAAAGACATTAAACATATCCTGAGGACCTCATTCCTAGGAGATACATGCCAAAGTAGTAGACTACCTGCAATTTTCAAGTGGTTTAGGGATATTATAATGATATACGGCAAATATATTATAAATGATATAATTATGTCTATTATGTTATAATTATATATGCTATATAACATATATATGTTATAATTATATTAATATGATATACATTAAGAGAGAGAGAAGCAAATGTGGTATTATGGACTGAACTGTGTCATCCCCCAAATTCATATGTTGAAGTCCTAACCCCCAGTACCTCAGAATGTCACTGTATTTGAAGATAGGCAGGGCCTTTAAAGAAGTAATTAAGGCTAAATGAGGTAGTATTCGGCCCTAATCCCTAATCTAATACTACAGGTATCCTTTTTTTTAATCCATTTTCTAAAGGGCTTTATTTTATTCAGAAACACTTGTCTTTTTTAAAAAATATTTTTTATTTCAGGAAAATATGAGAGTACAAACATTTTGGTTACATTTTATATCTTGCCTCTCCCTAGCAAGGGTTAGAGGTATGCCCCTCCCCTCCACAATCCTCACTGCATCCCTCAGTTGTGAGTCTACCCCCCCCAATTCCTGGAGCCCACCACCACCACGTGAGTGGAAATTAGGGAGTCTGGGCACAGCGGCTCACGCCTGTAATCCTAACATTCTGGGAGGCCGAGGCGGGAGGATCGCTTAAGGTCAGGAGTTCAAAACCAGCCTGAGCATGAGTGAGACCCCATCTCTACTAAATAGAAAGAAATTAATTGGTCAACTAAAAATATATAGAAAAAATTAGCCGGGCATGGTGGCACATGCCTGTAGTCCCAGCTACTCGGGAGGCTGAGGCAGGAAGATTGCTTGAGCCCAGGAGTTTGAGGTTGCTGTGAGCTAGGCTGACGCCACGGCACTTACTCTAGCCTGGGCAACAGAGTGAGACTCTGTCTCAAAAACAACAACAAAAAAACCTAAAACAGAAAAGACACACCTGTCTCAGAGACTGGAGCTAATGTAGCAGAATGGACGCGGAGGACCAGGATGACCTGCAGCCAGGCTTTGGGCGGGGAAGGGAGAATGTGTGCAGGCTGCCTGGTGCCCGGGGCAGCCACACGCAGGAGCGCCTCTGCAGAACTCAGAATGATTCCGACTCTTCTGGACAGCAGAAGCATGGCTCCCGTCTTCTTCCTCTCCCTCCATCTCCTCTCCCTCCCCTTCCCTACAATATTCCAGAGCAAAAAATTCTTTGTTTTTTTTTTTAAAGGAAGAAGACATATTAAGAGAGCTTCTATAGATCTAATTTGGTAAGGGGAAAAACCCAGAAAAATTCATCTGTCCATCCCATCGTGTTATCGAGCGGCCTACGGTGCACTGAGCCCTGTTCTGTTCCGCACAAGAACGCCCTGTCTTCTTCGCACTCCAGCGGGGGGAGGAGTAACAAACAGTGGCAGCAGCGGCAAGGGTGAGAGCAGAGGCTGGGAGTAAGGGAGCCTGGAAGTCTGAGGAAGCCGCGGGCAGGTGGAGGGCGAGGGAGGGAGGTGCAGGCTCTGCCTTGGCCTGTGCGTGGTGGCCGTGCTCCGGCTGCTGTGCTGGGAGCAGCTCAGGGACGATGCGGAACAGGGAGCAGACCATGGTAACCCAGGGCCGGACGCGGGCGGCTGGCCAGGCAGTGGCAGCAGGGGAGGGAGGGCAGGCTCTGGCCGTGGGCATCTGCTGACAGAGTGGGCGTGGGCTGTGAGAGAAAGAAGGCCAGGGCTGACCCCGTTCCACTGCACTGTAGGTTCTGAGTTGTGCGGTTGCTTGCAAGGAAGACACGAGGCTTCCCTGCAGGTAACAAGTGCAGGGATGGCGAGCCAGGTACCCCACCCCACAGGGACAAGCGCTCCCTGCAGGGGCCTGGCAGCTGCCCCTTCAGAAGCCAGCCACGAGGAGGCTCACAGAGGCTCAGGCAGAGCTCCCAGTAACGGACCTTTCTTCATCAGTGGTGCTTCTGCAGGATGGAGAGAACCCCCTCAGAGGGAGACGGAGGCCACCGCAAAGTGCAATCCACCCTTTCTAACCCCAAATCCACCCTCCCTGTCCACGCCCCACCCCCCGCCCCGCCCAGGCCTCTGCAGCATCTCCCCTCTCCTGGGGCTCTGTCTGCATCTGCTCTCTCTACTCCTGGGGCTGAGCCACTCCCTCCTGCTCTCTGACATGCATGTAACCCCCGGGTCTGCCAGCTGCAACCTAACCTGCTCAACCCTAGGAGAATCCCCCAACCCTGCCCTCCTTCCCTGGCTGTCCTCCCAACACTCTCAGGGCTCCTCTGTGGCTCTCTTCCACCTCATGATCCTGTCCTCCCTCCACAGCCTCCTCTTCTTCCTCCTAACGTTTAGGGACAAGTTTCCCTCTCAGGGCGCTTCGATGCCGAGGGCCTGCCAGCCTCCACCCCAGCCCTGGCCTCCTAGTGATGCTGCAACCACAGGCTGCCCGGCCTGCTGGCCCTGCTAGTCCTGCTGGCCTCGCCATTTCCTCATGGAACAGAGGTATCCTCACCTCCGGGGCTCCTTACTCTCCTCCCACTCAACCGTCAACCTCTCCTGCCAGTTCTTCAATTTAAGAGTCTTCTGGATATGCCCTTCTCCATTTCTACCACCAAACTAGTCCTGGCCTTCACGATTTCCTTCCTGTGCCAGCGAGACTGCCTCCTAACAGGCTTCCCTGCTCCTGGTCTCTTCTGCACCTTCCCACACAGCCCAGCTGCACTGAGCACGTCCCCTGTGCTGGGGACACAGCTGTGGACAACACAGACAGTCCCTGCTCTCAGGGAGCTTTTGGTCTAATTACGCCGCACACCCTCTAACTTGCCTAAAACACAGCTCCCATCTTTTCCAACCATAGCCATGTTTGAATTAAAATACAACTTTTGGAAAGGTGACTATATGGAGTATGTAAAATTCTTTACATTCTTTACTAAGAACCAGTACATTCTTTTAGTAGTATTTGTATGGTATATCTTTTTCAATCTCTCTTTTTTCAACTCCATATGTAAAGCGGGTCTATCATAAGCAGCATATAGGTGAGTTTCGCCCCCAAAATCTAGTTGCCAACTGTAGTAGTCGAATGGTGGTGCCCAAAAAGATATATCCAAGTCCTAACCCCCAATACCTGCAAATGTGACCTTATTTGGGAAAAAAGTCTTTGCAGATATAATTAAGTTAAAGATCTTGATGAAAGATCATTCTGGACTAACCAGGTGGACCCTAAATCTAATTACAAGTACCCTTACGAGAGACAGGAGAGCAGAAGACACAGAGAAGAGAGGGCCTGAGAGACAGAGGCAGGGACTGGAGTGATGCAGCCACAAGCCAAGGAATCCCTACAGCCTGAGGAGCTGGAAGTGGCAAGCAGGGGTCCCCACTCCCTGCCCCTGAGGCCGCTGGAGGGAGCATGGCTGGGGGCACATTTTGACTCTGGACTTGAGGCCTCCCGAACCGTGAGATAATAAATTTCTGTTAAGTCAAGAAGTTTGTGATCATTTGTTATGGCATCTCCACTAAACTAACAAAGATTTATGTTCTCTTTTTCTTAAAACAAAACAAAACAAAACCTCAAAGAATATAAAACATACTCAGTGTAAAGCCCCCTTCCATCTGAAATCCCCAGGCCCTCTGTTTGCCTTCTCAGGGCCAACCACTGCCCCCACCGTACACCCCCCCCCCAAGGACAGGCAAGGCCAGCATGGAGATGCACAAACTGTCTCTTTAAAGAGGGAGACAATGGTCGCATGGTCTACAGACTCCAACCTGAAACCCCCCTGCCTGCCCCTGGGAGGATGTTTCCCCTGCCGTACACGTGGCTCTACCTCTTCCATTAGGCTGCATGGCATCTCACAGTGTACCCATGTAATCTCTTAATTCACTCTACGAACACTGCTGCCACAAATGTCCCTGCCATGTGCTGTCTCTGCCTGTGTGGGCACATATCTGAGGGGTAAATTCCTACAAGTGCATCAAAAGTTGGCTGGGCTCAGTGGTGCATGCCTGTGGTTCCAGCTACTCAGGAGGCTGAAGCAGGAGGATCGCTTGAGCCCAGGAGTTGGAGGCTGCAGTGAGCTATGATCACACTACTATACTCCAGCCTGGGTGACAGAGTGAGACTCTCTCTAACAAAAATAAAAATAAAATGTAATCCTAAAGCAGGAAGGTAATCACAGACCTCACAGTGGCCACTTTAGCTCCTAATGTTTCAAAAAGAGACAACAGAAGATTCTCTGGATCACTCTGCCTCCCAGATGGCAGGAAATCACGGGCACAGGCTCTCTGCTGAGACCTCAGAATGTGAGCAGGTTTCCCAACTCTTGGGATCTGGGAGCTCTGGAGGCCATGAGCATGCAGAAGTCTGCACACTTCTTATTTATCCCTGGGGGAAATAAATACTCCCTTTCCAATGACCTGGAGCCACAAAAAGACCATAGTTTTGCAGCCGTCTGCTGAGTGTGGAATGGTGCTGATAGAACTACGCCCCGATGGCTTCATTTCTCAAGCTGCACCAAGGACCAGTGCCCGTACAACACAGGCTAATGTTGCGGGTGACAGACTCTAAGCCAGGACAAATGGTAAGCAGTCCCACCTCCAGCTGAATGTTAGGGCCAGCTGGGGACCAATTCATAAGCCAGGCAGTGAGGACTCCGAGTCAGAGTGCTGTCCCTGAACGTCCAACCCCCTCAGCGTAAAGGGTGTGGGAACGGGGAGGGAAGGAGTGATCTGTCTGGGATCACACTGGCGGTCAGCAGAGGAGTTGGAATAAAGCCACGTCACCGGAGCTAGGACTCTTTCTCTAACCAGCACTGGCTGGGCCCGTGACCTCGAGCCATGCTTTGTTGGCCCTAGGAGCCCAGGACCCCTCTCCACAAGCGTCTCCAACGCTTCCAAAGGGCAGAAACTGCTGGGAGGCGAGCAAACCCATCCTTGCTGAGGGAACCAGGAATCAAGGAAAAATCTAGAGGTATTTCTACACCTTTCCTAAATTATAAAAAAAATTCCAACAGCCAAGCCCCATCCCAAACCTCCTCAGCAGTGCTAAAACCCCAGCGGTACCCAGGGACAAAGTCCCCGGAAGTAGATCGCTGGTTGCCTCCCGAATCCACTCTCCCTCTTCCTTGCTAAGAGAACTCCCACAGTCCAGCTGAAAGGCAGGCTTCCCACCTCTCCCGCAGCTGCGTGTGCCCGGAAGCTTTGCATTTAGGCTGGGCCACTTTCAAGGAGAGATGGAGGTCCAGGTGACTCTTATGGCAAGGAACTAAGTGCAGTCAAGTTGGAGGTGGCTTGAAACCTAGCTCCAGGTTTATAAAAAATGTTATGATTCTAAGCCAGTCACTTTTCTGAGTCAAAGTTTCCTCAGTGGTCCACTGAATGGCAACAATGTGGGGAGAAAAGCAGGCAGCTGCCATCACTACTGTCACATTTATTAGGTTCTTATTACAGGCACTTCCCATCACTACTTCTAATCCTATGACAACCCTGCACCCCATTTTACTGATAAAGTCAAGGGGCCTGCCCAAGGCCAAAGATGGCACCACCAGGACGTGCATCTAAGTCCAGCTGGATCCAAAGCCCACATTGCCTGCCACCCTGACGATTACAACACAAAGCTGAATGTGACCATCCAGTGAGAAAGCAAGAGGCATAAACATAAGACAACAGTGTTTCTGGTAGGGACATCCCTCAAGGTGGCAGAAAGGGTGCTGGTCTGGAGCTCAGGAGACTCACTTCCCTCCCATAGGGTTTCCCAACTCCAGTTCTCTTCCTTGAGTCCACCCTGACCTGGAGCGGAGCGAATGGAACTTAAAACCCTCCTGTGCCCATCCCGCCTCCGCTTGCTTCCTCAGGGAACACAATGCACACTTTGTAAGTTGGCAACAAGGGCCCCCATGGCCTGGCATCTCCTACCTCGGTGATATCACGCATATTGTCCCCTTAGCTTAGGAGGGGCCCCACATTTCTTTTCCTGTATAACTCTTAGGCATCTTCCTTTATTCCCTTGCAACTGAGCTAAGTGTCCCTCCCTCCCTCCCTCAGGCTCCCCAAGTCTTCCGTGCACACCTGTTGACTGACACTTCACATGCACTGCTAAGTATCTGTCTGCTCTCACCGGACAATCAGGCAAGGAGGCAGACAGGAACCTTGTCTGGTTCACGTCTACGCCCTCAGCGCCCAGCCTGGCGGCTGGGATGCAGCAGATACCTAACTAGCAGAGCCGAGCGAGCGGGGCAGGACGTGCTGGCGCTCCGCACAAGCCAAAGGAGGCAGCGCTTGGTGCCTGCGTGTGTGAGCTCTGTGTGCAGAACCTTGCTTCAGAACCTACTGTGGGACAAGGGAGCATTGCTTAGCCTCTCTGGGCCACAATTATTCTCTGAAAAATGGAAATTATAGTACACACCTCATAGGAGCAGTAATAAAACAATGCAGAGTACCAGAACCGTGCTTTGTACTTGGCAAGCATGTGCTAGCGAGACGTGGCAGTGGCATTACTGCTAGAGGAAGACTAGGTCCTCAAGCACAAAGCCCAACTGCAGAAAACAAGAAAGCACACATCTGCTTCCAATTTGTGGATCCAGGGTCTCCTAAATTTCCTTTTTTCTTTTAAATTATATTAATGAATCATTGTAATAAGTTTGGAAACCAGAGGAAGAGAAAAGTTATCTGAAATGTCATCATCTGAACACAACCAAAATCACTGGTTGTGATATCACTGCGGTTCTGGTTCCAAATCTCCTTTTAGCTGCGCAGACCAAACAGACTGAACCGATATCAAGCTATGGTCTCTGTTCAAGGTCGTGGCCTCCATCTGCCCCTAAGGCTGGCCACCAGGAGAACTCTCCGCATGCTGGTGCTCTGAGAGGTGAGCACATAAGAGAGGTGACAGAGACAACCTGGGTGAGAGAAACAGAAAGTCATCAGGTTCTCAAGCTCCAGGCTGCCACTCTCTGCCCGGAACAAGGGCCCCAGTGACCATGCAAAGTGGACGTGTGGGCCACGCCACGCATGCGTGGCGGCAG